TCTGTCTTCTGCGGCTTCTTCTTTTCTCTTCTTCTTCTTCTTCTTCTTCTTCTTCTTCTTCTTCTTCTTCTTCTTCTTCTTCTTCTTCTTCTTCTTCTTCTTCTTCTTCTTCTTCTTCGCTGTTTCAGGCTTGCCAAAACCCCAAATGTTTGCATGTTATTCACAGTCAATAGTGGGATTTCTTTGAGTTTTTCCTTGTGAGGGTCTAAGGACACACACTGTAAAGCCCCCTGAGCCAAATAAGTAGATGCAATATTGGGCCATATTCAAAGCATTTGACTGATTCAAATGCATTCGCTATGTTCTATGACTTTCTTGCTGTAGTCACACTATTATCCGTGTTAATATTATTTATTGATTCTGGTTTTATTGATATTTTAAATCTGTAAGACTCTATTTTCTTATGAGGAAGAACCTTTAATTCTTACATAACCTTTAATTCTTACATAAATTCAGTTTTTTGTCATGTTAAAATTATATTAAGGTAAACAAATCGCAATGATCATCGTCTAAATACTCAACAAATATTTGGGATATTCTTATCATAATTATGCAGCTCACATCAGTCACATGTTGATTTGACTGTAGTGAATAGTGGATGATGTTTGTCATCCATTTTGGAATGAAATACTTCTTAGAAGCTAACTTTCACAGAAAACTGTCTGCGGGACATTTCTGGGCATTTGGATTGTTTGCTTCCATCTGGGACAAAACTGATATGAAATGTTTCCTGCAGCTGCAATTGCTTGTTCAGGTTTGTTTGGACACTGATAACATTTATGTCTTCTTTACCCAATCTTTTTTTTTTTTGGGATCAAAGCTTTTACTATTTACTAAGGTTTTAATCATTTTCTTGACATCAACAAATTATTTTTAGTTAACCTGATAGGCGCAGCGTTCGTGGTTCCTGTAACTTCATTGTGCTTTGACTAATAAGGCAAAGATTTGCCTTGCTTCCTGTTCTGTTATTATTCTACATTTCCTCCAGTGCTGATAATCTTGAGAACCTCGTTTTTTTTTACATTCAGGGCTAAACACTACAAATACATTTATAATATTAAGCAATAAGAAGTCACAATGCTCACATTATGTCTTCATGTTACACTCAGAGCTGCTGTTGTTGACTGGTAAAATGCTCATATAGTCCATTTAGACTTTTTGCCTTGTAATTAGATTGAGTACAGCAGAGAGCATACAGGAAATGAAGAGGGAGAGAGAAGGGGGTGGGGGGAATGCAACAAAGGTCTTCGGCAGGACTTGAGCTACGGACGTTTAATTAAATGGTGAGTGCCTTAAAGCCGCAGGCCACCGATGTAGTTACTTAAGAGAAAAACAAAACACTTTATGCTACAAATGATCCTTCAGGTAAGAGCCACTGTAGACGGCTGTATTGATGAAAACTGGAGTGTATCTGTTGCATAAGACAGATGTGTTGCCCGGTGACGACAGGATTCGCCTATCTGTTATAATGATTCCGATGCTTTATCTGCAAAGTGCTTTGTTATAGTTGCAGCTTTGCAGGAGGGACTCATAATTACTATAATTACATAACCTTTCCTGTAGTGTGTTGTATAGGTTTTGTGCATGTAAATGGACTGCAAAGGATGAAAAGTCTCTCCAACACACTCTCCCCGCCTGATATGCCTCGATTGGACTCCTTTGTTTACTTTCGTAACATAGTGACATCACTACATAACACTTGCGCTTCTATTGGCTAGCGCTGAAACACATTGTATGTGAGGCAGGATGTCTCTAAGCGGTTGACAAATGACAATAGAGCCGGCCAGCTAAGCAATCAGAGCAGAGTGGGCTCTAGTTTAGACCGTTAGGTATTTTGTGACCTTGTCTTAAATATGTGTTTTTGTGTGTATCTTTCTTTTAGGATTTCTCCATCCCAGACTATCGGACTCACATGCAAGATGCTCAGGGTCGAAGGAGACCATCGTTATTGTCTGAATTCCACCCTGGAACTGAAAGGTAAGGCTTTACATTTTTTATATAAGGGTACATATATTGCATTCAAACACATTCATACAGAGGCAGCCATACAAGGTGCAACCTGTTCAGGCAGACATTCACACATATTGACACAATTTGGTGTTATGTATCTTGCCCAAGGACACATCTAAATGTTGGTGGATGACTGTTCTACCACCTGAGCTACAGTCGCCCCAACACTCTGTATTAGTGTTGTTTTTTCCTTCAGCACACTCAAGATTACAATTAGAGAAACATTCATCTGTACAACCAGATCTAGCTTCTGATATTATTTGAATATGTATTGTTTACTTGCAGGCCTCCAGAGAGACGCCATGGTTACGAACAGCAGTTTCACTCGGCGCAGTCTGAGCATGAGGCCTTGGATTCTAAACGCCCTCGCATGGAGACTGTTGCCGAGGCTCACATCTCACGAACACCTTCCACTGCCGGGGGGATTCTAATGCCCATAGGCCATTCAGTACAGGACAGTCTGAGAACCTCTGCAGACGTCAAAAAGGTGGGCTCTGTTCCTCTTCAACGACTTCTGCAAAACAGAAAGGACCCTTTGGTCTATGTTAAGCTTTTGCCCTTACAGTAACAAACACTCCAGGGACTCTTTGCTTGTCTATAGTTTGTTTTACAGCACATGCTGAGAATTTCATGCACTCTCGTCAAAAAATAACTTCTGACTCGAAATATGCCCGAGCCCACTACATGGTATGAAACAGCTCTCAACTTGATTTGCTTTTTTTTGGTTTTCCCTTAAATAATCGTGGATGGTACCTGGTAATATTTTGGTAACAACTGGGTCGAGGTTCCAAGTGAGCTAAGCCAATAATAGAATTGGGAGATAAACAATTCAGAACACTAATGGCGCATTTCCACTACAGCGCGGTTTAAGCGTGCCGTGCCGTGCCCGGCCCGTTTTTGGTTGCGTTTCCACTTAGCGTAGTACCGGCTAGCGGGTACTATTTCACAGTTTTTCTGGCCCCATAAAATCGAGGTTCTTAGCGGGCCAACAACCAGGATGAGTCGGGCTGAGTATGCTAAACTAGAGAGAGAGAATCGCTGGCAAGGGGGCTACAACTACAACAAGATGAACATATTTGACCGTGATGCAATTGTAATACACGTTTCAAAATGATGCCGAAGTAACAACATACTGATACCGGTTAGTAAAAACCATGAATTAATGCTTTGACAAGTCTGCAGACAGACGGCAGGCGAAGAACCCTTTTAAAATGCGTGTTTTCTAAATGGAGATCGGCTAAGCTAACGCAGTATATGCTCCGACCGTCCACACTCACAACAACGGCCTATACAGACATAAATAAACAAGCGACTGTATTCGCCATGACACAGACGGTCTGTGGTTTGTACTTGTTTAGCTTTTGTCTAGTTTCTGAACAGATATGAAGAGCTGTGAGCTCTGAGTGCTAAGAGCTAACGGCTGATGTTGTTTTTCTGTGGTTCGCATTGAAGATGACGTCACGGCTCCACCTACACTGCGTTACTATAGTTACTGCCCCAGCTACTAAACTGTAATGGAAACGCAGCATAAAGTGAGCCAGTCCTAACGAGGCCTAACAAGGCCTAACTATACCGTACTAAGCCGAGCGAGGCCCTGCAATGGAAATGCGCCATAATTGGCTAGAGACAATCGTGTTTGGGTTGCGTGGGAAATTCTGCACAAAACCACCACTAAAAGAAATGTTAAATAGTAGTAACTCGACCAAGATATAAAATAAAAAAATGGCTGTCTGCAATAGGACGCTGTTCGCTAGGTGGTACAATTGAAGGAAACGCAAACCTTTCTTTGTTTGGATGTCGATATAGAATGCAAGTGTCACGTTGAAGATGATTTCAAAGGAGTTTCACATGGCGTTTCTATCAACGGATAATCCCGCCTACAGTGAGGGGGTACCATCTGCAGTGGAAAACAAATAGATAAAAGGACCTGGTACCAAAAGTGAGTTGAGTCAAGCAGAACCATGCAGTGGGAACGAGGCAATAGTTAAATGCCAAAACCAAAATGTCGGCTCTTCGGGACAATCCCTCTCTGACTGTGTGTTCACTTTCACAGTTGATATCTGCAGAACTGGATGGAATAATTTTTCTACAGATCTTTAGCTGTAGTTACACTCTGACTCAATTATCCCTGTTGTTTTCGCCAGGACTCTCAGTTCTCTGCCAAAGTAGAGTCCACTTCCCAAGGAGGACATGCACTACACATGGGGGATGACCAGGACGCTTCTCCCTCTAAACTATCCAAGGAGGAGCTGATCCAGAGTATGGACCGTGTGGACCGAGAGATTGCTAAAGTGGAGCAGCAGATTTTCAAGCTAAAGAAAAAGCAGGTTGGTTACCTTGTTAAACCGTTGTCTCTGCAGGTAGACTCAACATCATGTGTAAGGTGTTAGAACAAATTGCACAAGTCATTTAAATTGCTATTTTAATTAGGCAACAACTCATTCGACAAAAAATTAAGAACGGCAATGAACAGTTGTTAATCCTCATGTACTTTAAAACAACAAATACATGCTGTAAACATGTTGATTTTATATCTTGTGTTGTGCTTTAGATTTAAAATATCAGGATTTACTTGAATTTGTATGTCAAAGGTATTTTTTACCTACATTGACATGAATGTGTTTAGTTGGCATTTGTATCTTTTCTTTTATCCAGCAGCTGTTGCAAGTTAGCAATCCAGTTACAAATTCAGTTTAAGGCTGGTCGATATATTGATATTATGATATGAGACTAGATATTGTCTTTGATTTTTGAGTGTCGTCCTCTCTTGGTTTTTAAGGCTGCATTACAGTGATGTCATTTTCCAAATTCATCAGACTGTTGTAACTGTTCCATTATGATTCAATAAATCCACATTGCTGATAATTGTTTATAAAATGTTCACTGAGTAAATATCTTGTGAACGCTTCAATGGTCAACCCTTAACTATCATCACAACAAGTATTTTTGCCAAAAATATTGGACAATTTGATTTCCTACATATTGCTCAGCCCTCTTTGAATGATATATTGTAAAGATAAGGAGTTGTTGTCGGCTTAATGTGCAGCTAGCTTCCATGCTTCTCCAGCAGTCTTTGGACCTTGTGACCTCTGGTGTTCATGTTAACAGACTGTCAGCACACAGAGCTTTGGCTTGCACTTTGTCTGCTTCTGATTATTTTATCTCATCATTTGGGCTCCTTTAAGGATCTATGGCTTAATAATCCTGTACCTATCATTTACTGTACATCAATGTACAAATAAGGTGCTGAACTTTCTACATGCTTATTTCTTCACAAGAACATGTTTCTGTGTGGATAAGCTTGTGTTTAATCCAGTTTGTGGCTGTTTTTATGCCATTTTGTTTCCTCCTGAACTCCACCTCGTTAGAAAGGAATGTAAGATGAGCTTTGCTAGGAGAGTTTATCCAGTCTGCATTTTTCCCAAGTCGTTTAGGAATTGATTTGTTTATTCAAGGTATTTCAGGAACTCTTAATCTCGTGTCTGTAACCTGGTAGTTGACATAACCTTTAACTCGTAAACATTGACCTTCCAAATACTCACCAGTTCAAACCTGCAGTTCTTTAAAAAAAAAAACGTGAACAAGTCATCTGATAATGCCTGCATGGCCTTATATTATCATAAACTGAGATCACATCAGTGTAGCTGCATCTCTCCTTTCCTTCATTTTTCCCACGTGAAAAGGAATACAGATAAAAATCATACAAAATGTTGACTAAGGTCATGATAAGAAAAGAGGCCTCTATTGCCTCTATTTTTCTGTGTATTTTGTCTTGTGTGCTATTGGTCAAAATGTGTTTGTTGTCTCTTAGCAACAACTGGAAGAGGAAGCAGCAAAGCCGATGGAGCCAGAAAGGCCAGCGACCCCTCCCCCAGTGGAGCACAAGCATCGCAGCATAGTCCAGATCATCTACGATGAAAACAGGGTCAGTCGTCAATGACACAAGAACACCTTTATGGCCATGTTGTTTGTGTTACAGCTATTTATTTTGTTCTCATCTCTGTGATTATTCAAAGCTAGAAGAAGCTATTTCAAACAGCCGGGGTTAACCAGCTAAAATTGTACAGAGCTGCGCCAAGCTCCTCACAGCAGGGGATAACCATGGCGAACATGGCCAAGATGGGACAGTTTCCTCTCTTAAAACCAAGTTATTTTGCACTAAACTGAAGGCTGAACATGTGTCTTTAAGTCTTCTTTGCTCTGCTCTCACTAATGTATTTTCTTCTTACTGAATCTCTATGGTTTGGTGATTTATTTTCTCTCTATGGTGCTTGTTTGTTTTCTGTATCACTCTTATTTTTCTTTCAGCTAGGTGATGTTAGTCAATATACTGCTGATGCTATAGAAACTCCCTCCGATTTTAGCATGCACAAAAACCTATATAACAAACACAAGTATGGCCCTTTTTAAATTCAAACTAGTGGGAGGCTTTTATTGTTGGAGCAGTTGCAGGAAATATAAGATAAGATAAGATGGACCTTTATTAATCCCCGTGGGGAAATTCAGTTGTACAAGCAGCAACAGGGTAAGCGTGAAAAACAGGGCAGCACAGATTCACACAGATTAATAAAATCAAGAATTATTTTTTAAATAAGAATGATAATAATAATAATAAAAGACTGGTTAAATATAGGAGTTAACCGAAGGTCTCTATTGATACTTTGTTCCATTAAAAGTTTGGTTCATGATGAGATATAGCTTTAATGTTTGTGAAACTCTCCCCAGATTTGTTGTAACACAGCATTTTGCAAAGCAATCTTTTTTCATTTTCATAAAAAAATAATAATGTTGGAATGCACAGAGGTTCATGCATGATTTATATATTATTCTAGAAGTTAACCATGTTTACTGCAGTTTCATTTCCTCAATTCTTTTTTTTTAAATGAGTTATTACATTAAACTAAAAGTAAAGCTCAGAGGCAGGCATCCTTATCTGTGTTTCAGCTAAACAATAGGGAAATGAGTGGGTGAGGGTTTTTTCGAGGACACTGGAGTTCGTGTCTGTCAGACATTGTTGTGGTAGGAAAGCGCTTAGACACGCCTTCCTCCTCAGTTAGCTATTAACCCTTCACGCTGCGAAGCTGCTCCCAACCATGTACAGCATTCGTCTGGCAGCTGTGTTTGTTTTTCTCAGTCTGAAGATGACACTTATGGAAAGGGAAACTAAAGAGTTATTCAGTATTGTTCTGATGATCTTGAAAAAGCTGTCAGTCTTCACTGATCCAAGAAATGTCCCTGTCACTAGCCAACCCTATTGGTTATACTGCGGCAGGCACACATTTCCGTGTGAAATTCTTGCTTCTCTAAGCTGTTTGCAGTTGCTCACTTTTATCATTGTAATCTTAGTTTATTTTGACTTTATACATTTACCTGAATCTTTTAGTCCTATGTTAGAGACTACACCCCTGATTAGTTACTTAACTGGGCAAATTTAATTGCTGTAATAATTGTAAAAGCATTTATCAAAAGCCTATCCATGTGTAGCTACTTGATTAATATAAGCTTCTATTAATGCTGTAGCCAGTAACATCACAGAAGTATTACATTTATACGAGTACAACCCACATAGTGATCCAGTGTAAAATGGATTGTTTACCAGGTGTAACGGTTTTTTTTTTGGCTGACATTACAGCTTCTCTTCATTATTGTAGATCTTCTAATTTATGATTCTTCTTTTTTTTTCTAGAAAAAAGCTGAAGAGGCCCATAAAGTCCTGGAAGGTTTTGGTCCTAAGGTTGAGCTGGTATGTTTTTGAAGAGATGATTATGTGTTTCGTCCTTGCATGAGGAGACGGTTATGCTGAGCTCAGTAGCAGGTTAGATATTACTGCTTGCCCAAAGGCTAATGATTAACCCCCTGTCTTTCCCTTGTCTGATTGTTCCTTTCTTAGCCCCTCTACAATCAGCCATCAGACACAAAGGTGTACCATGACAACATCAAGACGTGAGTATCTAATTCCACGGATGAATTTCATGAACATCTGTCAGCTTTGGGATAGGGACTATCTCAGCAGAAGAGAGAGTGCTGACATCAGCATGATAAACCTGGCTGATATTTCTTTCTTATCTGATTGCTGAGTCACCAGATTGCCTCCCCTCTATTATCGCAAATGATATCCCTCCTAGTTAAGGGGTTTAAGGCCAGGCCATTTATGATAAGAGTCTTATCAGTTTGCAAAAGGAGAGCAACCCATTTAAACAAAGACCCCTCTTTGTGAATGTACACACTATCAGGGCCGGCCCAAATATTTTCTCCCTACCACCCCCATCATGCGTCAGCAAAAGATTTCACAGTATGGCTGTGCGATTATGGCAAAAATCATAATCACGATTATTTCTGGTCAATATTGATATCACGATTATTAAATACGATTATTCATTGACTTTGAAAACATCAATTTATTGAACTTTAAAACAAATTAAAATAATAATTTGAACAGTTGATTACCCTGAACCTTAAGTATAATTCAACTGAAAAACCAATACAAAAATAAAATTATACATTTATATCTACATTTAAATAAATAATATCAAAATAATAAATACCAATAAAGAAGATAAACAAATATTTTGGAGCGCATTTCCACAACCTACTAAACATATATAAATATGATAACTAATGTCACTCACAACCTGTAATGTTTAATTATACTGCTACACGCAGTACTCTTATTTTGGTAACCCCTTACCCGGAAACCGTAAGTAGCTAAGAGGCTCCGGTTTGACGGGTTTGACGAGGTTAGTGAAAGTTGACTGAACGCTAGAGACCGGAGAATAAAGACACGGCAACTAAAGCTTCCATTGTAACGTGTTTATATGGATTTATTAAACAGACCTGCAAGTCACAACACAACCTGGCCGAGAGGGCTTTTAGGGAGGGGGGGGGGTGCAGGATGTATAACGCAAGACAAATTGAGAGCATCAATGCGAAAGGGAATGCAGCAAAATAATCGTTTTTTTCGATTACGTTGTTTTCATAATCGTTGCAAGCCAAATTCGTAATCGAGATTAAAATACGATTAATTGCACAGCCCTAGTTCACAGTGTGTTGTAGCTGCAGCAGTGCAAAAAAAAACAGTGATGTCAATTATCCATTTGTAAATGTGTTGGAAAATAAATCAAGCTCAATCCGTTAAAGCACTTTCAGATGGAAAACTTGTACTACTTTTAGGGACTACTTTTCATTAAAGATTAATCAGGCAACTACCTCCTCAATTAGTCTGAAAATGTCCAGAACTTGTAAAAAAAAAAACATAACAATTCTTGTGAGCCAAAGTTTACATATTTAAACTGTCTGTCATTATTATTATTTTTAACTTGCAGTCTGAAACACAAAGACATTCAGTTTATTATCATAAGACAGAAACAGCAAATACTCCCATCTTGGAAGCTGGAACCAGTGTTTTTCTTTTGGCATTTTTGCTCAAGCTATTACTTAAAAAAACACTCATTCATCAAAGTTGTTGCAGATACATTTTCTGTATATTACTAGTTAATCGTGCACTTTTTGCAGCTTTTAATAGCAGCTTTAATATAGAGAATTTAGTCGGTCAAAGGAGATAAATCCATTCATAACTATTTTTAAGGTTTTATTACAATAGTACTATTAAAAAGAGTGGGTTTTTCTTCCTGGAAGTAAATTCCCAGACTTCCCTTTGTACTGACTGGAAGTTTTGTTGCTGGAGTATCTTGTGGGACAATACTATTTTTGTGTTAGCCAGCTTCATATGCTTTATGGTAAATACCCCAACCTTTTCTGGTAAACACAGTAATATCATATTTTTACTGATTTTAAGTGTTGTTCTCTTTTAGCAACCAAGTGATGAGGAAGAAGCTGATTCTGTTCTTTAAGAGGAGGAACCACGCTCGTAAACAGAGGGTAAGTGTCCCAAGCTATCAGATAAGCATTGTGGAAGTTCTATGTGTTTGTGTCGGGACTCTGGACTTTTTGTGTGAAAAGTGATTCGCGGGTGGTATTTTTTCAAACGCTTTTTTCCGGGTTCGGTTCTGGGTAAAACAAAGATGATGTGGGTCGGGTCGCAGGTGTTGCATAATAAATATATTAAAATAATAATAATTTAGTTTAATGTTTAAAATCCTCAGACCTCTCCCCCGCGGGACCGCGCATAATCATAACCTCTGCAGCGCATCAATCTGCTGCTGTGCGCGCCACATTCGAAATGGCTGAGGTGAAGCTCTCTAGCGGAGAATACAGCATTTTCAATAACACTTCCTCAAGAGCGAAATCCAACGTCTGGGAGGCTTTTGGTGTCATCCTAGATGGAGGAAATAACCAACATCCCAAAGACAAAATATGCAACTGCGTGTGTTAATAATTGCACGTTTTCACTGCTCATATATATGCGGGTTCGGGTCAGGTTGCGGATCTTGTGCCGTCGGGTCGGGTTGCCTAACTAATTGGCAATATGTGCGGGGGGCGGGTTCGGTATTGCACGTCGCAGGTGCGGGGCGGGAGCGGGTCTTGAAAATCAGACCCGTGCAGGACTCTGCTCTGGACACCAGACACATTAGAGGCTCCCCCATTTCCATAGTCGTGTTGTCACGCCATACCTGGTCGACTGTTTGCACTCTGCTGCCTTCAGCTGACCGGTCGCAATATTATTGGGATTGTTAAAGCTTTTGATAAGTGGTATCTTCCCTGTTTACTTAAGGCTATGTAATATTGACACACTAGACACACTATTACATTTGCAATTTTTGTATGCGTCACGCACCCGGAGAGAACCCTGCTTTTATACTGCTTGTCATCTTAAATGTACTTGTATATAATACAAATTTAAAAGAAACTCCTGTAATTACGAGGTGTCTGTGTAGTGTGACAAAAAATTAGGGCTGCAGTGAGAATGCTTTATAGTCTTAGAATCTGCAGCTCTGTGAGGATGTACTTGAACTAAATGCTTTTTTGCGAGCATTAGCTAATTAACCCTAAAAACAATAACAGCTAAGAGTGATGGGAGTGTTATTAACTTTGCAGATTTTTGGTATTAGACAAAAGTGTTAGACAATTAAAAGTTTGATGTGATAATAACATTTAAGGGACCACCAAAGTAATTTCAAGACATTTTAATTAAACCACCAGCCACTACAGGCGGCTATTCTCTGAGGACCATGGAGGACTACAAAAGTTCATGGCACTCAAGTTGTTGACATATTTCAGTCTTAAGTAGAGTGGTGAACCGACTGACCCCATTTGCCATCCTGCTTTTAGCATGGCTTATAGAAATAATGCCTTGATGTATTTGTACTACAGGAAATGCCTTGGTTTCCCCTGTTTGTTGAAAAGTATTGTGCGGGCCAAGAAGTGCTTTTGTTGCCAGTATAACAATAAATATGGTCACATTGAATAACAGAGAAATACGCCAGCCAATCGACTGTCCCTCTGGCTTTTTTCTTACTATCCAGCAAATTTAAATATTTCAGAATCACCCCATGTTGAAACAACAACAGGGCTTTTTTTGGTATTGCAATGGCTTAGTGCAACCTACCTTTCTTTGCCCTGTCGGAAACGGACCCTTTGGTCTCTGAACAATGGCAGAGTGCAAATGGCTAAGTGCCAAGAGGAAGGTGAATTGTTGGTCCCCTGCTGCAGAGAGTGGATACAAAGCTGTATTGTCCTCCCAATAAAAGAATCTTTCCACATCTTCACTTAATATGTGAACCCTTCCACCCCTTCACCTCATGGCTTAGTGCTCATTGAAACACCAATTTAAACAAGCACTTGAAAACTATTTGTCAACAGAAAAGCTGCTTCGGAAAAAAGCTGTGCCTTAGTCAGGAGGCTGAGTTAGGCAGTTATTTAAAAGATTAACATACAACATCACAGCTGCCATGTGCAGTTGGTCTGCATAATTACCAGGTTAAAACAGATTGAATAGACATGCAAAAAAAACTGTCAAATCTAAACATTTTCAGTTTTTCAAAGTTGCAAAAGAAGCTTCAAACAATTTAGTACAGCTCCGAAGTGTTTCATCTACTGTACCTTCAACAAACTGAGCACTATCTATTGCTTCAATATAAACCTGAGAATCCATATACCATATTACAAATTGCATGTACTGTAATTTAGAATCAGTTGTATTCACTCAGGGAAATCTATTTGAAAGGTTTTTCTCAAAAAAGCCTTTATTTTTAAGTAAGTCTCTAAGGAGGTCAACCTTATAGGACTGAAATATCTCAATACCCTTTTAATCCGCATTACAGTCGGTGGTTTAAAAGAACAGTGTACATGCAGATTTTATTTATATATTTTATACAAAAAGGTTCTTTTTGGCTCATTGTTTGGCAGGAAGACATTTTGGCTCTTACTATAGTGATAGAGGCCAGGAACCCACTCCTGATATCCCATTGGTTTCCCACACTGTGCTCACAGGAACAGAAGATCTGCCAGCGCTACGACCAGCTGATGGAGGCGTGGGAGAAGAAGGTTGATCGAATGGAGAATAACCCCAGACGCAAAGCCAAGGACGGCAGAACACGGGAGTATTACGAAAGGCAATTCCCCGAGATCCGCAAGCAGAGAGAGCAGCAGGAGCGATTCCAGAGGTAAACCGGTTTACCTGTGAACCGTCCACATAGAGACATTATACCCCTGTTTTTGTTTCTGTTAATATTGGTTCTTGGTTCAGAAGCTCACAAATCTCGCCTTTTTCTACTCCTTTCTCCTTTGCATATTGGTTGATTTACATCAACACAATAAAACAAATTTCAGGCGGCATTTTAGGATTATTTTCATTATCGACCATTCATAACCTGACACGAAAAAAATTACATTTAAAGGGGACCTATCATGCAAAATTCCCCTTTTGATGTCTTTTATACATAAATGTGTGTCCCCGGCGTGTCAGGGAACTCACAAAGTGTCAGAAAATAAAACCCTCTCTCTTTTCCTCCATGCACAAATCTCTGAAAAACGGGGCTACGTATTTTACGTCATACCGGATGGCACCCACAGAATCAATGCCCGACGTGTTTTGGACTTAATATGGCCTTTGTTTACATTAGCAAGCATCGCTAACACTCAGAGCTAACCAGTACTGGAGAGAGCGCATGTGTGAAGAAGCAGGAAATAAAAAGGAACTCACCTTGTGGTAAACCAGCAAGAGAGAGAGCCGTTGAGCTCCATAATGTTTCAGAAATAATCCTTGATGTGGTTTTGGCATTTCATCACCGCAGCATTCATTTTAGACAGTATCTGCCGGGTCCCGCATGAGAAGGCATAAGCTCTGCCCCCTCTTTTTCTTTTTTTTCAAAGCTTTATACCCCGAATCAGCACTTTAGTAACAGGAAGTGAAATAGAGGGATATGAGGCATGGCTAGAATGGGTGATCTGTTTGGTATTTTGAGCAAAACACTTCATAGACATGTTTTTTTATACATTTTTATATATATCTGAGACCTATGCTATTGCCTAAATATTGCATGATAGGTGACCTTTAAATCTAGAAACAAATTGCAAAACCCTAATAAAAGTAGTTTGTTATCACAAGAGAAATATTTAGATTTTACGAGCTGCAACCAGTCATTTTCTTCTGGCAATTTTGCCTCGGATATTACTAAAATTATGATTAAGAAAATCATCAAAACTGATACATTTTCAGAGTAATTGTTTTAGCTTTTATACAGACACGTTAGCTGATCGAAGGAGGGTCTTATTGCCCAGCACTGTTTCTGTTTAATACTGGTAACAGAGTGGATGTTTCACTCTTGAAGTAGACATCCTGACATCAAATTGCACAGCATCAAAGGACTGAAGTAAACTCAGTTATTATAAACCTGAAGGATCTACTGAGTGTGAGGACGTGGTCAAAGACGGAGACTGTAGAGTGAAACCATTTTTACTCTAGAAATCTTTTGATGCATAGATCATTTTGATTTGTCCTGTAGCTGAGCCGTGACACTGAAATGGTCTCTTCCATTATTTAAGATGTCTGTTCATCTAGCATCTAAATACAGGGCACAAGGTGGTGTGCAGTGGCCTATTTTGTGCAGAGACGCTGGTCGCCTAGGTGCCTCTGGGAAGGGTGGGAGACGGGGTCAAGGTCCAGCGGAAATGTTCCAAGTAAATAGTTTGCATGTCAGCACTTAAAGCGTGCATAAGGAAGTCGTTAATTACTTGTTCAAGAGACTCTTATGTATTAATAATGTGTACTTGATTCTGTTTGTTGAAAACGTTTTAAAGTTCCAAAGCTTACTCATGTCGCTTTTGTCACGGAAACTGGGAAATCACATTTCCTCTTTAAAGGAAAATAATGGGAGGCTACTGTTAAGTCTTGGCACATCATACAAATGTAACATTTGTTTGTCTCTGTTTCCTGCAGGGTTGGACAAAGAGGAACAGGCCTTTCTGCGACAATCGCAAGAAGCGAGCATGAGATTTCTGAAATCATAGATGGCCTTTCTGAGCAGGAGGTGGGTATTATCTGGAGAGCCTTTATTACATATATTACAGTGTAAATGTACAACAGCATGGCTGGATGACAACAGCCTAAATAGAAGTGTCACAGTTTGTGTCTGTTAAGAGGGAGAGTTCTCTGCAGCGTTTCACTTGCATCATCTGGAATCCATTTCATTCAAACAAGTCACAGAGGCAGAAAGGCGGTTAACTAAATAAGGGAGACTATTGGAGTGACTATCTGTGTCCGTGCTCCACAGAACAACGAGAAACAGATGAGACAGATGTCAGTCATCCCTCCCATGATGTACGACACTGAGCAGAGGAGAGTGAGGTTCATCAACATGAACGGCCTGATGGATGACCCTATGAAGGTGTACAAAGCCCGGCAGTTTATGAATGTTTGGACCGAACATGAGAAGGAGATCTTTAAGGAGAAGTGAGTTGTGTTTTACTTTTTTGTGGCACAGGATGTCTGCAGTGTGGATATTGTGTACAGGCTCTAATGCCACCTCGGCCTTGCACTAATATATTTTTGGATTTGGCACATGAGTAATGACTGGCATCTCTTTCTAGGTTTGTCCAACACCCAAAGAACTTTGGCCTAATTGCCTCTTATCTGGAGAGAAAGGTAAGCTTGAGATCCTGTGTATTGCAGAATTTAATGTTATCTATATTTCACTCTTTGGGTTTTAAGACTATAAACTACTTTCCATACTAAATTAGATTGAATCCAACAGGCTGTAATGCATATTTAAGTAGTGAAAATAAATATTCATACACTTAACACTACTTTCAACATTATTTTTCACCCTTTGGTCATTGGTCCAGATTTTAGCCTTTTTAAATATGGGTATTTCTTTTTTTCCTGTGTTTTATAGTATTTAAAAAAAATGTCTTTAAGGTTTTGGATATTTAGTAAGAAACTGGCTTGACTATTTTCTGACATTGTGTGGCCCACTTGATTTATCTATAAAAGAATGGATGGGTTAATTATCACTCTAGTTAACAGTAAGTTCCATCCAGTTTCACTGCATATGATCAAAATATTCCTTTTCCTATTTCAGTGTGTTGCCGACTGTGTCCTTTACTACTACTTGACCAAGAAGAACCACAACTACAAGACGCTGGTGAGGCGGAACTATGGCAGACGGAGAGGACGCAACCAGGTAAATGTGAGACATCACTAAATATCTATTTTAAGTGTTTTCCAAACCATATAGAGCAAACGATAGATTTCCATGGGGCTGCAATGGAAACAGATGTCATGTGGCCGTGGATGTGATAGTCATGTTTAATCACAGCATTGGGTTTGTGTGACTTTGCCACACCTGTTCCACGTCTCCTTGGCTTACTGAAAGCTTCTAGTTAATGACAGATCTATGTCTACCACATGTATCACATATGTGCCCCACCTCTTTATGGAAACAAGTGCTTTGGATTTTCCCCCTACATTACTGTCATTATTTATGGGGGAGGGGTTGAACCAGGAAGCAGCATTTGCACAACTTTCCTTTTCTTTATTTATAAGCAAGCAACCCTGGGACTATGTGATGCAGCTACAGTTTGACTCACTTGTTTGTCCAAAAGATACACAAACATTATCTGTGAAAAGTAGAATATAGGAACAGTGAAATATAGAATAAATATAACATTTAGCTATAAAAATAGGAGTTTGAAATAGGAGGAAACTGATGCTGTCGCTCTAAATGATCATTTGGCAAAGTCTGGTGTTGAAAAAATATTTCTGTACAGTTAGAGTTTTAAATATACTTAAATGGACAGGCTATAGTGAGAATAAACCAGCAGTAAAGCTGATTATTTCCTCCACCTAATCAGCAGATGAATCGATAATGAAAATAATTGTTAGTTGCAGCCCTGTTTCAAAACCATTATAAACACACTTGCATGCATAGACACACACAATATACTCAGCTGTAATGTACTGTGTTAAGCTCCTTTAAGCACAGTATTAGCATATATTCAACACACACTGTGGCGCCAAGAGGTCAGACAGGACGAGGGTAACATGCAGAACACAGGGAATCTTGGGACCCATTAGGTATGTGTACTATTATAATATATAATGTATAAGAAGCTGGATTCATTTCAGACACAACCAACTGTCCAATCCTATTGCTTATTCTGCTGCACGTGGCGCCATAAAGATTGATATGTCCCAGTATAAAGTATAGAGACAAACTGACCTCACTGAAATGACTGTCAAATCTGGAATGTGAACTTTGTAGATGCCAAAGTGAGACCTATAAAATGACAGCTGTGGAGATATTTCATTGTACTCAGATTGTTTAAAGGGCTTTATATAATCGTAGTCTTGCACTAAAATCCAGCAAAAATGAAGGGGCACCATCTTGCAAAACACTCTTGGCAGACATTAAATATTGATTTGACTCATTCTGTTGGATGTTTTCCTCTTTCCTGTCTCTTCCTCACTTCACCAACCCATAGTCCTTGTACAGGACATTCTGTCTCTGCGTCGGGTACATCAGCTGTGTGACACAGTGGATCGGTTGTGTCTTTAATGTGAGGGGGTCGAGGGCGCGTGAGTTCATGATTACATCTGGAACGTAAAGATGGTGACTGGTACTATTTCTTCATGGATGATTCACTCACCATATGTTTAGCCTTTCACTTTTTGCACCATTCATAGTATGCACCCACTGGCATTTAAGAGACATTTCTGTGACAGAGTGCCAAGTGTGGAAAAAGGTATTTCTGTGCATTCATACTCAGCCAGGATAACATTACACAAGGGCACTTTGTTGTTGTTGTTGTTGTTGTTGTTGTTGTTGTTATTGTTGTTGTCCCGTCATGTTTGAGAAGTACTCTGGGCTTTGTTTGAGTGACGGTAGGGTGCACATACATTTTCTCTCTTGGATGTTCTACTGACTGACAGGCACTTGGTTTCTGTGGGATAATCAGAGATGGGATTGTTGGTCCAGCACTTGTTCGGATCAGACTTTTGAACATTGGTGAATATTCATTTGTAGATGTTAACACAGGATCCAGTATCAGCATCTCTAGTGGACTGCTTAAAACATCAATAGACTACTTTTAAACCCCCCACCATAGCATTTACAAGTGCAATTATACTTTGCGCTACTGTTGCAAAGACAATTAGATCCAAGGGACATATTTAGCCATTTATTCATACCAACATGGAAAAAACTAAATGAACTCAAATAAATTACAATTATCCCAATACTGCAATGAGAAATCTGTCGCAGAATCTTCTGACTCTTATATAAACAGCACTGGGGCCCTCTCTTTCCCAACCACTGAGCTTTATACATGTGAATGTGCGATAACATTGCCAACATGCAAAAATGATATGATGTAAATTGTTTTTACTGGTTGAATTTGAACTAAGTACATTTGATCAAGTACTGTACATGTACTTAAGTTTAAGTATCGACACGCATATGGCATGCCGATTTAGCTTTTATTCATTTCTGGAGGATATCAAAAAATCAATTCTTACTAGTAAGAATGCAAATTATTGATATACATTTTTTAATTTTAACTAGTTAGAATGCAAATTCAATTGTAACTAGTTGTAATGTGTATTTCTGATATCAGAAATGCGATTTTAACTAGTCGAAATGCCAATTGTTATCAAAAAAAGGATTTTGAACTAGTTCAAATTGTATTTCTGATGTCAACAATTGAATTACTGATATCAGAAATTGGCATTTAAACTAGTTCAAATTCCAACTCCCATTGAAATGAATGAGAACAATGATGCAAATCGCATTTCTGATATCAAGAATTTGCATTCTAACTAGTTAAAATTCAATTTTTGATATCAGAAATAAACATTATTACTAGTAAGAATTACATTTTTGATATCAGAAATAAACATTATTACTAGTAAGAATTACATTTTTGATATCAAGAATTTGCATTCTTACTAGTAAGAATAGTTATTTTGATATCCTCCAGAAATGAATAAAAGCTCAATCGGCACGCATACATAAATAACATGTGTTTACATTACTTATTCAATAGTTTGTACACAAAGTAAAACTAAATGAGCTCAGCATTAAAAAAATTACAACTATAAATAACTGTTGTATATATTTTTAAGTCATAAAACAGGATCATTTACTTTGTCTTTACTTTTACTTCATAATGTAATAAGCCAAATTGAAGCAACTGTAGGATTTAGTGCCAGCTACTTCCACTGAAAATATTTCTTAACAATAAACGGGTCATGCTGGTTTTGTCTTGTCATGTATGTCCGTGTCAGTGTTTCATAATCATTAAATGCGGTTCCTACAATGTTGTAGTTTTGAAACACAAGTTGGTTTAAGATGGTGTCTATTATTTGGTGTCTTATTTGGTGTCTTTTCTGGTTATTACCCGTCCCCTTGTGTGTTATGAAGGTTTTTATGCATGTAAACGGTCTGTAAAGTCACAAACCCTCAAAGTACACCCTTTAGCGAGTAAAACTCTAACACAGAAAATACCTGTCTATGCTGCCCCAGAACGCCTCGTAGGAGATTTCTCATTTTCCATTGTTTACTTCCTGGGTTCTGTGACGTGTGAACAACAAGTCGTTTAGGATAGAGAGTGAACACCTGGTGAATATACATACTATACAGAGATGCTGTATGAGAAACCAATGTGAGTTTGGAAAATTGCACAATTTAAATCTATTCTAGTAGACCTCAACAATGGAAATATGATCAGTAGAAATGGCCATGACATGGGACCTTTAAGATTCAAGTCAGTTGCTTAAGTGGCTCTAGTGCTTTTTCCAAAACATCTTGTGGTTGTGGAGAATGTAAGTTTTTTTCTTTTTCTCTTTGCCTTAATGCACGTCAGGATGTTGTGGATTTGAAGCTACTGGTGTGATTTAACAAAAGCAGTGAGTGGAGTGAGTCATTAGAGGGGGGAAGGAAGAGGACGGAGTGAGAGAAAGAGCAGTGGAATGTAGGGCGAGCGAAAAAAACAAAAACCTGAGCGAGACAGAGTCAGCGCTGGCAGTTTATCCGCTGAGTGTGTGCTGTGTGTTTCCATTTCCTCTTTCTTCTGTTCCTCGGAGAGAGAGAGCGAGATAAAAAGCCACCCCTCTCTGAAATAGCTGAGTTGGTACAGCCCAGCCATCTGACAGGCCTAGAAACTCAGTGTGCTGCTGTGAGTGCCAATCAAAGAAGAGCGCTCGGTAGGGAATAGGGATTACCTCGAGTGACCCTGCATAGATTAGTGCGTGCATGTGAGATGGACAATTCTTTGGGCGGTTTAAACGGCCCGATGACACGCTTTCCCGGAATATGTGCGGCAATGCCGTGGCCCGGCAGCCCTTCTAAGGAGCTCTGCTATGGTGCTGTCCTGCCCCTCTACTGCTACCGTTACCTCCGCTATGGAAGCACTGGAGGCTAAAACTCACATTTACAACAGCCGTAAACTGTAGGAGAGCGAAAGGGATTTTATGACCAGCAAATGAGCTTGCAGGTAGGTCACTGGCTTTGAAAGCACTGTGTTTGCTTTTGAGTTTATACCAATCTGACTCGGTTTGTATCTGCTTGTTCTGTAACATTTTGGTCCGTGTCGTATTTTTTATACTGCTCTGTTGCTCAGGCAGTTTGCTTCTTCCTATTTACTTGCGGCATGTAGGCAGTCAAACTCGAGCTATTTTAGGGTAGTTTTTTTTCTAGGGCACGTGCAGTCATGGTTTTTTATTTAACAGTCAATCCAAGCCTGTGTGAAATGCATGTATTAATGCTATGTTGTAGGCACTTTTATAAGGAGAAATTGTTGGAATGACTTTTTAATGGGATATTTTGTTTTAAGTGTATAAGGCTGCAGTGAGGCTGGCAGCTTTGTAACGTGCCTTGAGCACATGGGAATCCTCCATATCAGCAGAATCTTAAACTGGATCTCTACTCCGAATTCATATTCTCACTCTGCTTGTGAACATAAAAGTAATAGACAGCAGTAAATAGGAGTACAGTACACACTCTTGTGGATACCTGCACATGCTACGCCCCCACTGTCTTGGCTTCTACCACTTGATTGGCTGATATTAAAAGTAGAAGTTGCATCTTGACTAGATGGCAGCTGACAGTGAGATCTTTAAGATTTCCATTCAGGAAACTTTAACCAATTATTTGTTATTTATGCAGCTTTGCTAGTGTTAATAGATTGTTTATGACAAGCTGCAGTTCAGTGTGGCATTTTATGATCTTATATGAATAATTCATATTGAATGTTTATCATGGGGTAATATTAATTTACGGTTCAATCATTCAGTGATTGTTGAATATAAACTTATACTCAAGAAAAAAACAAAAAAGGATTACTTTTTTTAGTTTATTGGGCAGCTTAGCATCATAATGTGGCAGGAATGTAGTAATTCTTTTTTTTTTTTTGCACCATGATCCTGTTTAGCCAGTTTTTAGAGCTGTGGCAGTTATCAGAGTTGTCTATTTACAAATTGATTTATTTTCGATTTAGATGTATTGCTAAGCTCTAAAACAAACATTATAAATGCAGAGCAATGAAACAATAAATTAATTGAAATAAATTAATTGATTGTCTGTTAATCAGCCATGTTAGCAGAAACAAATGTGAAACAGAGAGTGTGTACTGCGGAGGAGGCCAGAGCACGAACTGCAGCTTTTATTGCTGCAAAAAAATGTAGTTTATCTACACAGATCCTTTTTAAATTAGTTCTGACCTACAACCAAAAAGAAAACAGCTACATGCCATTTTTGTTGTTTAACTTGCTAATACAACACATTCCCTTCAAAGATGTGTTTGTGGTAACATGACAGAATGCCAGATAAACAGAATACCAGTGTTGGAAATGTAACTGAGATAATAGTCCTGTTCTGGTTGACAAAGTAAAGCCTAATCTATCCATCTCCAATGTTGTTTTAAAATATATTTTTAAATGTTATGTATATACAGCGTCAAATATACAAGGTAGCAAAATGACCTGCACATTTCTGCTGTTTTCTAAGGGCAAAATGCTCCTTGCAAGCTCCTATCGTAATTGCTTGGCAGTGAAGTTCATCAAGCAGTCAAGTAGTTTCATCAGTTTGTATCTGCACTCTTTATGAGAATGTTTTCTCTCTTGCTGAGCACCCAGTAACCAGGGTAACTGTGGCTAATGCTGATGTTTTTTTACCTTATTTTCTTTTGACGATAAATTGTTCCACCAAGATTGCTCTGATGTTTCCATCTGCTGGAGAGTGCATTATATCTCAAATGAAAGCAAGTTATTGACCCTGGCCGGGGTTGAATGCGACTGCTAAATGCATTTTTTTACCTGTCATTTTCCATTTTTTAGTCCCGTTACTAGAATGTGTCAAAAGATGTTCTGTTCTATGAATTGGAGTGAAATAAGTTATCCAATAGTAGTTTTTAAATGTCCTTTTCCTGCAGTTAAATAGCTTAAGCTAGAGTGAGAGATTCCTCCAGGGGCCTACGTTCTGTGGTAGGAAAGGGAAGCTTGACTTGTGGCTCTGACATTTCCTAAGTCAAACAGCACTGGTGAATCAGCGAAAGAGGGGAGAAATTAAAACTCTCAAAATATTTAAGCCAGGTCAGGAAAAGAGCCTTATTTAAAAACACTGAAGAACCACAGGGCCTCATTGACGTTTGGAGAACATCTATGTAGGGGCTCTTTACGCTGTGTGGGAGAAGAGGCAGGAATGCCACGACTCTCCGACCACCTCCAAAGCAAACACGAGCACTCGCTGACCCAACCAGAACAGAATCTCACTGAAAGAGATGTATGGGGGGAATAACTGATCTAAAATAGACTGCTCTGCAAAAAAAGTCTACAGTGCCGAAAATATGCTGCATGCAAGAAATGAGTCAAGAAGTCCCAATCCAAGATTGACATATTCCTCTCTGCATACATTAACCTGCAACCTGAGCTGTGGTTCTGCAGGGCTTCCCTTAAATAATCGAACAGTCCTTCTGCATCATCAAACCTTGCCGGAGAACCCTTTAAACCACATGATTCTGTGAATGCTCCTATTCTATTTTAGCATGCAATATATTCTAAACATGGGTTACCATCATGCTGTGCAACCGTCATACCACTAAAGAATATGTTTACAACATTACATCTAATTTTCCTGAAACATTTATCCAAAGTGACTTACATACTCTTCAATACCATAGACTACACGCCTACAGGAGCAATATGGGGTTAAGTATTTTGATCAAAGGACTGAACCTCTGATTGGTAGACGCCCATTTAACCCCTGAGCCACAGCCCCTCACCCTCTAATACTCTAATGATTTGTTGAGCATGCAATGTTCTAAATGTGGGTTAACTCACTTAGAGCTTGAAACTGTAGCATCATATTTAAAAATGTATTAGAGCAACAGATCAACATCAACAAGTAAATGTTAATTTAGCTTGAAGCAACCGATTTTGACAAACGTTTACCGATAAAATAATCCTTGAATCAAATGTTCAATTTTTGTCTGTAATCGATTGGAAGAACAAGAAAGAAAGGTTGTAATCCAAACAGTATAGTTAGGGTTAACTCGAAATGGTACCAAACACGTTTGCCTACAGCATCTCAAGAGACAGTAACGACATCATTAAACACTAACTGTAACTATATCAATTTGCAATATTATTGACAAAAAAGACAATACTGAAATGTATTTTTTTAAAGGTCGGGTAGGTAATTTTGGAGAAACCAGCTCGAGTGCGCTACATTTGAAAATACACAGCCGGAAAAATCTGCCACTTCCTTACAGAGCCCCTCCTCCAACACACACGAACGTGCACATGACCAATGAGGGCACGAGATAAATGTGTGCCCAGATGGAAGGCTGACAGGCAGGTAGGCCATCCAGTTATTTTAGCCGGGCCGGCTAAAATGATTGGTCGTGCTCTTTACAGTACTACAGCTTCCACAGATGACATTTTTGTATGGATTTTTTGTCAAAGCACTTCAGATATTCATTGCTATCGGGATGTTAAGAGCATTCCATGGAATATAACAACAAGTGTATCTCAAGCCGGTTTCTCAAACTTACCTTCCCCACCTTTAATTGAAAGCTTAACCAAAATCTCGATGTATTTATTTTGACAAATATGAAAAGACTAAATAATTTTTCCCAATGCAGAACTCTCGTTTCCTTCAATGCACACGGTGAGCTCAGTCAGGAGGACTTGCAGTAACTAGTTTACTATCTTAGCTAAGTTAACAACAACAGTGCATTGGAGAAAAATTACTTTCATTCATCTTGACTCGATGGACAAAATGAAGTTAACTTGTACTATAAAACTAGTAAGGACATTTGACACTAACTCAGACTAAATTAAAAAGGATCAGACAAAAATAAATAGCACCACATGCAGTTTTCTTTCCCACACTGTAGATTGGATTTTGCTGTTCATGTAGCTCCACTCCAAGAAGGCCAAATCCCTTTGATTATTAGCTGTCTTGGGCTAGAGCTGGCTAAAGCAGCCACTAATTCAAACCACCATGGCGGTCGCTTACTGCCCGCGTTTGTGAAGAGGCAAGCCTCTCTTTATCAGATTTTACTGTAAGATCTGGACTGTAGACTCCACGTGTGCAGAGCTACGGCCACAACCCTTTTTTAGTTTTGTTGTCCCACTGCCTTTCCTTTCTGCCTCAGCTTGTATCTTTTGCCTTTACCATTGAGCGGAGCACATTCCTTGGCCCCATCTGGTACCAGCATGGGATGTTTGGCTTGGCATAGCAGACTTGTTCCAGCACAGCCTATCATGGAAGAGGCAGGAGGAAGCTTTCGGTGGTTACCGCGCCAACAGTGATGATAAAGAATGCTGCCCTGTCCTTAATCTCTGTCAGATCAGTTTTAAAAATTCCGCTTTTGAAAAATGTTGACTCTCATGGCAGTTTTTATCTGGACTCAACCTCCAACCTGTTTTTACATTAAAATACAGATCTGTGTGAGAATATATATTTTTTGCATCTGTTGCAGCGTGATATATCAATCATGATGAGTGTCGTGATCAAGCCCTTTTCTCTCTTTGACAGATTGATTGAGACACAAGCCATAAGAACTGGCCTTACTCCACTCTTTTTAAATTAAGCAGATCAGCAAACAGTACCTGGAATATATGTTTTGATGTCACATAGTTTTTGTGATTCTATCAAAATGTGCCATGGCTTTAAACGTATCTTTACAGAATGTACGACTAGGCTTTTCTAGTCTAGAACTATTTATTTCATTAAAAAAATGAAAATTATATTTGCAGCTTGAAAGTCTAATTACCAGATGCTAAAGTACAAATCTGCCATTTACCGGACCTGGTCCATTTGCAGTCAAAATTGAATATTTAAGTAGACTTGTAAGGCCATATCTTATGTTTTACAATTGCATATGGTCCTCAGGGCTCACAAGGCCAATGTAGGCTCTGTTTTACCATCTGAAGATGTCTGTTTCTTGATAGTGTGTGGGAGTACTGGCCCAGGAAGTGTTTAATGAGTCAGAAGGGCAAAAAATAAGGTTGGGATCTCACAGTGAGATAGTATCATACGGGTGGAAGATAGATCTGATGATATCTAAATGAAAGCATTGATATCAGGACTGAAAAGTATTATCTCCTTTGCATTCTACATGTTGACCTTTTTTTCCAATAGCTTTTGTTTTATTCAAGAAGAAAGCCACTTACATATTTCTTTCGGCCTTTGTCTCCAGCAAATAACGCGTCCCTCACAAGAAGAAAAGTCAGACGAGAAAAACGAAGAGGAAAAATCTGAGAAATCCGAGAAAAAAGAGGACGAGGAAAAGAAGGACGAGGAAGAGAAAGATGAAAAGGAGGATTCTAGGTGAGTCTTGAATGATTGTTCGTCATAAAGGTACATGTATTCCATTGGGCCTGCAAGCATACAATGTGTTGAAGCACTAGCATAATATGGCCTCTTTAAGGGCTTAAATCCCCGCTAGACACAGTAGAACAACTAGAGAAAAATGTAGAAGTTAATGCAAATGAATGCTTTGTTGCATAATGTTATGGGAATATCCAGGATGTCAACATGGATAAAAAGCTAGTCTTGTGAATTTAATTTGTAATAACACCAGAACTTATTTGGCAATGACATTTCTATTACATTGTGCATTCCCTTCTTTTCCCGGCAAAGGCACCTCTTACAGTCAAACAAGTTGTATGGAGTTGATCCATTTCAATATAGCTTTCCTAATGCAATACTAATTCATGTAAAAAAAGGTTTGGTAAATCTAGGTTTCAGTTTGTGTACATCAACAATATTTTTCAACCCTTCAAACAAGAGACAAGACTGTACTGTGTGCTGCTTATGAAGCAATACTTCCTGTAACCTGTTGACATGAAAAGCACAAAGTCTGCTTCACATTCAGTATTAATGGCGCTGGAGGTGACTTTTATCATATCCTAAAATTCAATTTGATTATTGAGTTATAATCATGTGATAAACAGGATGCAAAATGTTTTATCGTCTCATCAAATTATGAATAAACATCAAAGACAGTGCAGTTATTGTAAGATCTCCCATCAAAAAACCCTTGATAAAGTGATGCATGTTCATGAGTTGTTCAGGGGACAGTAGTGTGTTTTGGCACATTTCTAAAACACGAGACAACTTGCTAACTTGTTAACAAGTCTGTCTGGCTTCGGGGTAGACATTTCAAATAAGCTTTTTTTGTATTTTCAGTCATGGAGAACAGATTACAGTAAGGGCCTGTAATTGCTGGGTCAAAACGGAACAGATATTTGCTGTACCAACAGTCTCCTAAGCTGTGTTTCCCCCCCCTTCCAAAAACCACAGGGACATTGGCAAGGACAAAGACAAGTGTGACGGTGGGGAGGACGAGGACGGAAAGGAGCAAAACACGCCGCGTGGCAGGAAGACTGCCAACAGCCAGGGCCGCCGTAAGGGAAGGATCACCACACGCTCCATGGCCAATGAGGCTGCATCTGTGGCGGCTGAGGAGGTACCTCCCCCCGCCCCCGAGCCTGCCCTGCCAGATCCTCCGCTGCTCCCCAAGCCGGATCCAATGCAGAAGTCACTGAAGGAGCCTGCAAAACCCCAGACTCCAGTAGCTTCCATGGATGCTAACAAAGGTAAATCCTCTTGGAGATGCTCTCTGGAGGTGGTTGAAAATGTTTTTATTTTTCAACAAATTGACACATTAGTGCCACAGAGGAAAGAAATAAAACCAACATTTCATCACAAAGTATGTAAAGAAAATAATGTGTTCGCTTCAGATTAGCGGTACCACCTAACCAAGCAGTAGCAGTAATGCTTTTACTTACATTTTTTGGGATTGTTTACCCTGGTTTAAGTTCTCCGTTCTAAAATCACAAATCCAGCCGAAGGGAAGTCTCTTGGCTGTACTCTATGCCAGGCAAGCCCATTCCGTGCAATCAGTGCCAGGCTTTCACAACGTAACAACAAAAATACTGCACAATCATTCAATTGCAGAATCCTCACTTCCTGCCTGACCAAATGTCGTTTTCCCCGGGATTTATATGAAATTGTTTTTTTACCAGTGCCCGATGCAGGACTCTTGCTGTCACTGGATGGTATGGTAGTAGAACATAAGTTAATAGTCTTAGCTTATTGTGTTATGTTTACATCGAATAGCAACAAGCCATGGATAGATCCTATACAAGGTTTAATGATATGTCAGAATAATGCTCTGCTTGTTTTGTCCCTCTTATAATGTTTACATTGATAAGCTGATAATAGCCTAAAAGTGTAGAGCAGTTTTCAGGCACTCATTGCAAAGTGCCAGACAGACTCTGTCCTGCCCTGCACTCAAGACACTGTATGTCCATCACCATGGCAATGTGCTGCTCTGTTGTCATGGCTCTGGGGCTCTTCCACCCTTGTTCAATTCTGTCACAAAGAAGATGCTAGCTCATATTTTCACAAATCCAATCCCCTGTGTGTTACGTTTATTGTTGCGTTAATCTGCATCGTTGATTACTGCTCTGTAAGTGTGCTTTGCTTCTCTGCCACCTGCTGTCTATTGAGCTCTACCTCTCAACAGTTAAGAGTTACGCAAGGTCTGTCCTAATAATGTGATTAATACGCATCTGCTGTTAGTGTTGCACGGTGTACCGATACTTGAAAGGTACCGCGATACCCTGCCGTTAAAAACGGTACGATTCCTCCGTTTCATTAGTATCGGTACTTTAAGAATGACGGGGAAAAGTACTCCGGTGAGAAAGCGCCGTTTTAATAAGAGCCGTGTGTGTTCAGCGCTCTGCTTCCACTCCCTGCACTGCAGCCGTGCCTGCAGTCCCTCCCTCTCAAGCACGTTCTAAGTCCCTCCTATGGGCATAGATATGTCTCTTAATTATTTGTGTGAACATAAAAATAATTCGTGTATAAATATGTGAATAGTAAATGTAAAACAACATCCACAAATGCATTTAAAAGATTAGCAAACTCACAAATACATTTGCAAGTGTAAAACGGATCTGCAAATACGCTAAATATGTTCACAAATAAAAAAAGATCTGTGAATATCTCTTTAACATTTACACCTTTCGATCAGGCATTTGTGAATCCATTTTGTATTTGTGGACCAAAAATGCGCTTGCGGATCTCAAATCTCTGTTCACGGATCTCAAATCTCTGTTCACGGATCTCAAATCTCTGTTCACGGATCTCAAATCTCTGTTCACGGATCGTCTTTTTACACACACGGAATTTTGAGACATATTTTCCGCCGGTCTCGGCTAAAATCTACTCGTGTCACTCGGTTATTTTCGGAAACCACGTGATGGCCTGCTGATGACGACATTTCTGCATGATTTCAAAGTAAGAGCATGATGGTTTGTTTAATGCTCTGTTTTTGTATTATAATGAACAGCGGAACGTTGGATGCATTCTTCATCACCATCACCATCATCATCATGTTATAGTGATACAGTTAGTTTGTGTTATTGGTTCAATATAGCATATATCGAGCACTTTCGTTGATGTTGAAGTGCAGGCTATACGCCACTTTCGGGTCCCGGGGGAGCAGCTGGCAGTGAAACAGCCCAGATAAAACTATTTCTTCATTGTTTGTTGTGTATTCAGTCAAGCGGGTCGAAGTTACAAAGCACTTCACATCTTATTAATCGGCCTAATTTTACCTTACCAGTGCAGTAATAAAGTAATCTGTAGAAAAGCACCGTATTTAGGTCAGGGTTATGGTGATGAAGAATACATCCAACGTTCCGCTGTTCATTATAATACAAAAACAGAGCATTAAACAAACCATCATGCTCTTACTTTGAAATCATGCGGAAATGTCGTCATCAGCAGGCCATCACGTGGTTTCCGAAAATAACCGAGTGACACGAGTAGATTTTAGCCGAGACCGGCGGAAAATATGTCTCAAAATTCCGTGTGTGTAAAAAGACGATCCGCGAACAGAGATTTGAGATCCGTGAACAGAGATTTGAGATCCGCAAGCGCATTTTTGGTCCACAAATACAAAATGGATTCACAAATGCCTGATCGAAAGGTGTAAATGTTAAAGAGATATTCACAGATCTTTTTTTTTATTTGTGAACATATTTAGCGTATTTGCAGATCCGTTTTACACTTGCACATTTATTTGTGAGTTTGCTAATCTTTTAAATGCATTTGTGGATGTTGTTTTACATTTACTAATCACATATTTACACACAAATTATTTTTATGTTCACACAAATAATTATGAGACATATCTATGCCCATACCCTCCCCTCTCTCGTGCACGCGGCCACGCGCTTGCTGCCAGAGCATGTGAGAAAACGAGAAGCATGGCTGCAAGTGGGAGTGCAGCTGCCGCTGCGCCTCGGCTTGTTGACAAAAAAGACGCCAGAAGCGAAATTTGGAAGTATTTGAGCTGTATCTCTGACAGCGAGGGCAAGCCTACGGACACCACGAGGCCTGTCTGTGAGAAATGTTTTAGATCCCTGCAAACCAAGGGAGCCAACACATCAGACTTGGCTAAGCACCCCGCCGACCGGAATCCAGAGCTGTTTAAAGAATTGAAAGACAGACAGGTTAGCGAATGTGATAGATAACATAATTACATCATGCTCAAGCCCATGCCCTCAAATCTAAGTCAAACAAGTGTAATTTATTTTGTGACAAACGAACGTTTTCGTAGTTTGACGAGGCAATTAATGGCAATGATAACGGTCTAATATGGCTATATTTTTAGCTAACTTACCAATGTGGCTAACATCTGCAATATACATTTTGTCAATAATTATTTATATTACTGTACTATTACATGTTAATATAATATAAAAACAATTATATTTTATAAAACAAAAAAGTAGTTTGAGATGATGCTTAATTTTATTTAATACGAATTCTTGTCATTTATTTTGTTTATTGTTCTCATTGTTTAAAAGTTTGTGTTATGGTTCTGGTGTGAAATAAAGCACAATAATTACATTTAAGACTGTTTCCCTTTTTTTAAGAAAAGTATCGAAAAAGAATCGGAATCGCAATTCTTGACTTGGTATCGGGACAACACTAGTCTGCAGTGTGTCCTTCAATCCTCTCCACCGTTTGACCTTTCTGATACTCTGGACATATTATGGTTTATGCAGAACTGTAATCTCCCTGAGGGACTACATTGTGGATTTTGCATGTCTGTTTGCCTGCCCTGTAGTAACCCTTGTGATATATGCTGCTTCTTAGAAGTAAGTGGGCTAGGTGCTAAAGGGTAGCTATCTCTCAGAGTTATTCTGTTGAAATGATGCCATGCGAGTAGGGCTGTACCCGAATATTCGTTCGTTGGAGTACTATTCGGGTTTCAATTTCGTTATTCGGATATTGTTTTTTTTCGTTTTAAAAAAAAAAACTAAAATAAATTGAATTTATTGAAAACTCCAATATCAACGTAAGAGCTCGAATATTCGCTGCTGATTACTACCGAATATCCGGAGCCCGAATTATGGTATTCGGGACAGCCCTACATGCGAGTTCAGGAAGCTGCTGTTTCAGTGCGGGCAAATGGTGGGAGTTTGATCTTTTTAAAACTAGTGTGGGGGAAGTGGGGTGTGTCTTATTCGGTGAGTCAGTACATACATTATGTGGCCCCCACCACCATCAAAGTTGCCCATCCCTGCTCTAGGCTGTCTGTTTTCATAGCCACGAGATGAATGACCACCCTTGAGGGGCCTAGCATATCACGGGGAGAACATGTGAGTTTTGCCTCGGGGAAAAAGAAGTCTAGTGCAGTAGACATTTGTTTAACTAAGTGTAACAGACTGTGTGGCCAGGAGACCTTTAGAAGGAGACTTCTAAACACTGTGAAATGATCTCCTCGTCTTTTAGGGTGGGGGCGGGGGGCATTCAAGCCTAGTTGATGTCAAGGGTACATCTGCTGCTATATTAGTCCAAATGTTTACACAGTATTGGTAGATGCCACCGAGGAGTGGGCTAAAGTTCATTCAGCCCCCTCCATACTTACTCTGCACTTCTATGAATTTTGTAGGGGGGTTTGAAGCTGTGTTGCCAAGCCGAGGCTAGAAGGTGGAGTGTGTGTGTCCATGATGAGCATGGTCACAGTAGAGGGGTGGGAGGGCTCTGGGCTGGTTGTTCTTTCTTTCTATTTGTCTCCATCCAAGGCCATTTCCTAAAGAGGGAACCGTCCACCGTCTGGCGCTACATCAGCTGACCAGGCCCCTCCCCCTCATGGATTTGAGAGGAGGAGGGCTTGCTCGGAGCTGTTGGGAAGGGGAGAGACAGAGAGAGATAGGGAAGAAAGAGAGACGGTAGGAGAGTGAGCGTAAGAGAGGGAGCGGGGTCTCGGCAGCCCTTGAATGTAAACAGATTATTAGATTAGTGGCCATGAGAAGGAGACGGCTGAGAGAAGGACTGTCACTCTCTCTGTCTGTCTCCCCCCTCCCTCTCTTCTTGTCTCTCTATCTCTCTGTATTTCTGTCAGTGCTGATGGGGTTTTATCTTTTTTTCTCTCTGTGGTTTAGCTGGTGCAGGTGAAACCGGAGAAACTTCTCGCTGGACCGAGGAGGAGATGGAGGTCGCCAAAAAAGGTTGTGTTTCATTTTATTTTTCTCCCGCTTTACCTCTCAGTCGTCCTTATTTTTCTCTGTGTTACTGTTGCTCCTCTTCTTTTTGTGGTCTTTCTTCCCTCCACCCTCTTCCCCTCTGTCTTTTTTATTTTCCTTTTTCCGATTATCTGATGTGGCTTCGCCTTACATGAACTTCACACTAAAAGAAACTGGTGCTGTCAGACCACCATGAAGAGTTTTAGGGATTTCTCTTTTAGCTCCACTCTTCTGCCGGTTCCTTCAACCTTATCGATTAAAGCCCTCCATGAAGCAATAAAGCGTGACAGTTACAGCCTGCTCCAAACACCACTATCTATTATTCACATCCAAAGACTTTGTCAAGGAAGGCCTCTTGAAAAGTTACTTTGGTCTTGTAAATTCTTCAAAATGTTTGTTGCACTCTGTGCCTTGTGTCACACTGCACTGCTGCAGTCATTAGTCAGGTCATGTGCCATTCAAGACCTTTTGCTCCCCCATTTAGGTCGGCTTTGTTGTTATGCTGTTATGTATAAAGCCAAGAACCCATAGACTGGCGGAGTAAATAAAAGGATTCATGTGGATTTATTAGGACTCTCTTGGAGATTTGTTTTCTCTATATTTCTGCTGTGATCTCCTCAGGCATCGCGACCTGAGTGCTAGATGTGTCTGATTTAGGATTAATGTAGCCTAAAGAGACCTCCGCTAGTCATATGACTAGAGGAGACATCATCACTGGTTGTGCAAGAGCAATTAATCTGCATTAAACTCTGTGTTTTTAAAAGATGATCACATCTGAGGACTAGCGGATAAATCAGAAATGTTAACAGAAAAAAGGAACATTTATTTTTTCATTAACATGCTAGTCAGATCCATAATCATCATATTCCATGTTACAAGCAGATGTTGTTGGAGAAGAAGTAGAAGATATTGGGGCACTTGCTCCATTTATATTTTTGGACAAAATAACTTATCACCTTACACTTATAATTAATATAAAACTAAAGAGCCAATAACGGTTCCCTTAAATATGACAGTAGAAATGAATGAATTAACTAAAACAGAAATGAAACATTATAAGCGTCACAAAAGTTACGATAATTGAAAATAAAGATGATAACATCTCCTCTTAAGGACTTTGTCAAGGATGTTTGAGCAACATGAATAGGTAGGTTGTTGCCATGGTTATGCTATAATACTGACATTATGTTTATTCCTGAATACCAGGAATGGAACAAATCAGCCATCTTTTCAGATCTGGCAGAATTAATGAAGTTAAATGATTTCACTTGATAATTAATCTGTCATTGTGACCAATGTAACTTTCAAGGTTTGTTGAGCAACCAAGTTTATCTTGAGTCAAATAACAGGGAGCGTCAAGGTCCCATAACTTGCAGGACTAGTTTCTTGTTGTGTGTGTTCTGTATGGTATGAATCAATTGGAAGCATTTGGGAGCCTTTTTTGCAAGAGTTTTATGCAGCTTAGATTTAATTGCTAAAGTGTTAAAAACTAAAAAGGTAATAAAATATATCTTATTTGTTTTGTCTAGGAAGTTTCATTATGTGCCATCACTAAGTGTATTTCTGTCTTGTTGTGTGCAAGTTTAAGTAACTCTAAATAAGAGTATTGACTCGGAACAGTCCAAATGCCCCCATTCCCGCATTTTACCGGAGCAGTAATGGGGCTTTGTGTTTCGCTCCGTGGTGATTTGTCAATCTGCCAGCATCTCTCATCTCAGTAGGCCTGGGGAGGGAGTGGAGGTCACAGGGGTTACAGGATTTAGAGAAGAGAAGCACTAATGTCAAAGGTAAATGGCAGCCTGGCAGAGCAGTTTCAAAGTTTAGCTGATTGACAGTGTTAATGGAAGACCAAAATCACACCATAGCAACAGACAAGTGTCATTTTGAATAGCAACCAAAGCGACTAACAATAAGTGCAAACAACCATGGGGAAACAAATTCAAACGGCAAGAATCTTGCAAGTACAATTGCTTTAAATAAGCCAAACTATTCTAAATATCACAACTTTTTTTGTGTTAGATTTTATTGGCCCAGGTGCAGTTGAAACGGTATTTAAAAAAATATATAATAAATATGCATTTAAGGAGATGTAATAAGATTATGACAAAGTAAAAAAATATATAGATATATTAAGTCCTCTTGTTAAATTGTCTCATTGTCTGCACCCAGGGCTAGTTGAACATGGGCGAAACTGGACCGCCATCGCCAAAATGGTGGGCACCAAAAGCGAGGCACAGTGCAAGAACTTCTATTTCAACTACAAGAGACGTCACAACCTGGACAACCTGCTCCAGCAGCATAAGCAGGTAGGCTATTGTTGCTTTCTGTTATGGCTAATCGCTGAGTGTTTGCAACAGTACTGATTTATTCAAAATGATCTGTTTCATAGGATACACGGCGGGCACGTGCCGATAGGTCTCAAGGTGAAGGTCTCGCTAATGCGTCACCCGATGATGAGGATGACGACGATAACGCCGATGACAGTGAAGGTCAGAGAAGCATATACTCGACATTAAACACACAGATACACACGATTCCCTCTGGGCTTTTCTTCTCAGGGGCTCCCTCGCTGAAGGATATACTGCAGGCTGATATGTTTCTGTATTACATGTTTGTCCTTGCTTATGAGTTGTGGAGATTTGCGCCTCAGATTACCAAGTGTTAAGTAAAGAGGGCGTGGAGAGAAGGAATGTCGCGATAAGTACAGTGCAAAGCTGGAAAGCCTGATCTAAAATGCCCTTTGAATCGTCATGTCATTCGCTTGATGGTGATGGTGCTTGCTCTCTGCTGACTGTAGTTTTAATGAGAGAGGGGAAAAAAGGATCAAATGGGGGGGAAAGCAAGAGGTGGAGATAAAAGATATCGACTAATTCGGAGTACATGGGCGCCTGTTGCATAACAATTCTTGGCTTTGAAGACTCAACAAAGCCTGCTCTTTGAACACAAAGTGCCGGTCCATTTGTTTGATCCTGCCTGGATCTCCAGAGGTCCTTATCTTTGCCGTGTGAAGGGGGGCACACTATGATAAACTTTGAGATGGCGTGCTCGATATAGAAAGCAATTATGATTCGGCCAAATGTATATTACAATTCTTTAAATCGACATGTTATTTTAACAGCATGTCCTTTTAGTGAGGCTCAGCAGACTCATTACATTACATTACATTGCATTTAGCTGACGCTTTTATCCAAAGCGACTTACAATAAGTACATTCGACCAGGAAGACACAACCTTGAAGAAAACAGAATCATATAAGTACATCAGGCTTCATAGAGCCAAACATTTCAAGTGCTACTCAACTGGCTTTAGGTAATCCAGTCCTTTATTAGTATAAAAGTGCTTCGTTAATAGTTCTATCGCTCGAAGTGGAGTCGAAAGAGATGAGTTTTCAGTTTGCGCCGGAAGATGTGCAAGCTATCTGCCGTCCTGATGTCAATGGGGAGCTCATTCCACCATCTTGGAGCCAGGACAGCAAACCCACGTGTTTTCGCCGATGGGAACTTGGGTCCCCCTCGCAGCGAGGGCGCAACGAGTCGTTTGGCTGATGCAGAGCGTAGTGCACGCGCTGGGGTGTACGGTTTAACCATGTCCTGGATGTAGGAAGGGCCAGATCCATTCGCAGCATGGTAAGCAAGTACCAGTGTCTTGAAGTGGATTCTAGCAGTTACCGGAAGCCAGTGAAGGCAGCGGAGGAGCGGAATGGTGTGGGAGAATTTAGGAAGGTTGAAGACCAGACGAGCAGCTGCATTCTGGATGAGCTGCAGAGGTCGGATGGCACATGCAGGTAGACCAGCCAGGAGGGAGTTGCAGTAGTCTAGGCGTGAGATGACGAGAGCCTGGACCAGAACCTGAGTCGCTTTCTGAGTCAGCTGAGGACGTATCTTCCTGATGTTGTAAAGACTCGTATGTAACTTAAACAGCCTCCATCTCACAAGATAGCAACAGCGACAGCGGGAGGTCACAAGGTTTTCTGTCATGTTTATTTGACTTTGTCTTCCTCCCATGGAAACCCAAACTGAACTTTAGAGGTCTCAGTGATGTGCAGTCTGTGGATCTCACATTATAAACAGCAGTGAGTTGGCGCACATAGAGCTAGAGGAATGAGTAAAGCTCATTGTAGACTTTTTTTATTAGGATGTTTAGTCGTACTGTGATTTTGGTTTGATATTCATAATCAGTGGTGGAATGTAACTTAGTACATTAACTAAAATACCATACTTTAATATTATTTTGACATACTTATACTTTACTTTGGTATTTCCATTATATGCTACTTTATACTTCGACTGCACTCGTTTCAGAGGCAATATTCTACTTTTTACTCCACTTTATATATATATATATATATATATATGTATACTTATCAATTGAATATTTTATAAAGTCTCTAAAATTGTCTCCACATTGACAAACTACACGATTAAAATGGTGTGTACATGTGATAAAACAGGATATTAGAACATCTTTAATAATACAATACTTTGAATGAGCCATTCTGCATAATGGGTACATTCACTTTTGATACTTTAAGTACATTTCAATCGTAGTACTTCTACACTTTATGTTACTTAAAGGGGCCATTGTACATTAGTAAGTATTATAAGACCATAGCATTCTTACTTTTACTCAAGTACAGTACTCATTCAATCAATCAATCAATCAATCAATGTTTATTTATATAGCCCAATATCACAAATGTTACATTTGTCTCAGTGGACTTCACAGTTTGTACAGAATATCAATATGACAATACGACACCCTCTGTCCGTAGACCCTCAGTACTTTATCCTCCTCTGTAAATAATGCATCTGTTTTTTCATAGACATACCATCTGGTCTACCATCACCATGGCAACAACTGCAGCATAGACAATATGTAACAGAAGCAGGCAGACTTTTTTGAATATGCTTAAGAAAATATGACTTTCTGATATTAATTTATAATTGTTCTCATTCTACAAAAGCAGTTTGTTCTAATTATGACTATTGTTATGTCTTCACAGTTTAAGATATTTAGACTGAAGCATACAATATTACTAGATGTATTGTTAGATTTTTTGATTATTTTGAAAGTCTGGTTTTCTGTATTATTGAAGCCTTGGATTTAGCACAAGCAAATTTAAGTGGTATGAAGCGAGGTCATTAAATTAGCAAAATTAGGTCATAGATTAGATACAAAACTAACTGGCAATTACATGTGTCCAAGTAAAATGTGACTATATAGATAAATACATAATGGGAAGGATAAAAAAGCACATGTTTAGATTATTAGATCGCCTGTGTGATGTGTTTCATCTCTCTTGGGTTATTCTTTATTGGGTAGATTTGCGTTGTGAAAGGCAATTTATTTTTATATTTAATTCATTTGGCTTGCTCTTTATTCCTAAAGAGCATCCAGTTGACTTGCAAGTCTTGTGAGTTTGATTGAGTCTCATGCATCTCTCTCTATCATGCTTCCTCAGGCGGTGACAACAGCTCCGATACAGAGAGCGCTCCCTCCCCCTCTCAGTCTGGAGACTCGAAGAGGGCAGACGGCACTGCAGGAGATGCTCACTGCTCTGATCAGGACAAAGGTCAAGCCAGTAATGGAAAGGGCCTGGAGCCTTTATACGGAGGACTCTGTGTAAAGGAGGAGAAAAGCCCCGAGAGCGAGAGCGGATCTCAGGAGGAGAAGGCCAGGATGGGTCCCTACGGAGGCTCTGTGCACCCCAAAACCGAACCTCAGGACACGGACATGAACTCCGGAGAGGTTCAGGTGAAGATGGAGCCTGAGATGAAGGAGAGAGGAGAGAAAGGAGATCACAGCGAGAGGCACAGGGAGCTCCACTCAGATAATGACTCCAGTGCCACCTGCAGTGCTGACGAGGATGTGGAAGCAGAGCCTGAGAGACAGAGGTGTGTTTTCATGTTCTGTGTACATAATTGCAGTTTTATAAGAAAGGGAAATGTTTTGTTACATTATACATTTTGCTTTGTGCCTCTGCAGAATGTTCTCCATGGAAAAGCCTTCGATGCTCAACCCTCAGGGCTCGGTGCTGGTGTCTTCACCCAAGCAAGCCCAACTCAACATCCAGCAGATGCAGAAGAGGGCAGCTGCCATCCCACCTATGGTGAGTCACAGTTTCTGGTTTATCCATTTTCACGGGCACAGGTTAGAGCATGCCCACATTTCCTGTGTAAGTTATTATGAAAGGTTTTTTATACAAATACATAAAAATGAAAAATAAATTGCTCTATTTTAACAGTTATGTGTTCAAGGTTAGTAATATGCTGGAATTTGAATATACACAATTTTTTTTGCATAATATAGTTTAATCTACACAATCAAGGAAACCACAAATCTTATACTGTTTGAAATGTTTAAAAACCTGTCGCTTTTTGTCTTCTGGTGACTCCCAAGCAGGAGTTTTGTAAACTTTTTCACAATTTTTCTGAATTGCAATATAGTAACAATTTGGATTTAATGATAAAAGCACTAAGAGCATGGCCATTTTTGGTTTACGTACCTTGAATTTGACCCTATTAAAGCTACCCCTGATACATAAATCATGTTCGTATTGGGGTTTGCTTACAGTGTCAGCCTTTATATTTCTACCTACCAAGATTTAATACAAGTATAACATTTCAATTGTCATAAAGCAGAAGTTTCAAGATGCGTGGTGAAAGTAGTTCTTAAGTTGGTTCAGCGGCCTATATACAATGCATCAGTGCTCATGCAAACTACCAACGTGTCAATATCTCACTTATTCTTATCTTGAATTCCACCTCATCTGGATCTTTTCCTCCTAAACTTGTGTAGATGCCTGGTTCTTATGGCCCCGGTGGTGTGCCAATGAGTGGCTTTGCCATGTTGCAGCACCAGATCAAAGCAGTGCACGATTCAGCGCACCAGGAAGAGAAGCAGCGGCAGGATCACGGAGACCTGGAGCGAAGACCGCCCTTCAACACCCGCAGCCCCACTGTTATAGACAGAGATGGTATGAGAACAAAAACTATCCTCCTCTCTCCTCCTTCATGTTCATCGCTCCTTCAGCCTCCTTCCGCTGCTGGTAGTGGACTATTTATTGGGGGTGTTCATTTTCGTTCACTTTGAAAAAAGGGCATGGTGGTCTGGACTAATGTGGTTCAGTCGAAGCCTAGACAAAAAGTTAGCTGACCCTGTTTAACATGTGATGTAGAGATCTGCTTTGATGCCCCTTTTTGAAATGCCTCTGGCTGATGAAGGGGACTTTGGTGGGGTTTTTTTTGAAGTCGTGTGACTTGAGCATGTCAGTTAAGGACACTCATTGCTTCTGGTGCTGACATATTTGAGGCTCTTAGGAAAGGAAAGTGCTAAAGTCGCTTGGTAGTCATTAGTCATTTTTGAAAAGCCTTTTAGCACCTTTTAGTGCTGTGAAGAGCAGAGCAGCTGCCAGTAAGCTGCTGAGCTTTGACACCGAGATATTTATTACACAGGATTCAGCGGGTGTGTGTGTGTGTGCTGGTGGCGGTGTTATTTGTGCAGGGTCAGCTCAATGCTCACCGGCAGGGAGTTTCTTGTTTTAATAGTGGCTGTCTTCCCTCTGTCCTTATGCCTGTGAACTGTAGGTAAGCCCTTACCCTACATGCCTTATGAAATGAAGCTGGCTCTGGAACAGGAGATGCACTCTGGTCGGCCAGGCTCTCCCTACAGACTCTCCCCCAGGGAGATGAGCAGAGCCTCACCCCAGCCTGACCCCAACGCCCCCAATGCCTCCCGCTACAGTGTGCCACCAGGTAAAAAGCACACTTCCTTCCCTGCCTTCTTGCCCTCTCCCTTCCCTTGCTGATACCAACTAGCCTTGGAGGCACATACTTGACTCTGTTGGCAATAAAAAGTTCTATAGTCTGGTTTACAATTTTATATTTTAATTTGCCATGTATTGACATCCATAGTTTAGATCAGGGGTCGGCAACCCTAGGCACGCGTGCCACCATTGGCACGCGGGACCGTAACCAGTGGCACACTAGGAATAAGTGTGCACAAATATTTAAATTTTATTTTCGGATCCTGAACGAGACCGCCAGCAGAGCGCGTCTCCCGCTGCAGAAGGGGGAGACCCCCATGCACGCAACGCAGCACAGAAGGATAACTTCTAGCCCCGCTCTCTTTAACTCCAGTCGACTTTCTGCTGCTTTCCTTCATGGTGAAACGACCAGCGGTGTAGCGCACTTCACACATTGCAGTACCCATAAGGAGCTGTTTTGCGTGGCTGTGTCTCTAGTTGAAAGCCCAGTGGCGATCTGCTCATCTGTCATCAAAAATAATATGCTACACAGAGGCGGACTGGCCAACTGTGTGTTCTGGAGAATCACAGTGCGTCCGGTCGTCAGTGAACCGAGCCGGTCGCCAGCCGGGTTCGGTCTTTATTTATTTAAATGTGTTTAAACGGCATCATGTAAGTTGCACTGACAGGCGACAGAGGTCCACAGCTTCCCCGCAGCGAGGCTCCCCCAGTCCCCCTGTTGACAGTTCACGAACGTCGGCACACTAATCAGATTTTTTTTTAAATGGCACTTCATATCAAAAAGGTTGCCACCCCTGGTTTAGATGAACATGCCTGTCATTATAATTGCTTGATTGTCGGCATTTGAAGTTGTGGCAGAGGAGGACTGTGATTTGAATCCCCTCATAAGTCGGGGTTTGTTGGGATTTTTGGTTTGTTGATAAATAATGCATTTTCTAATGGGTAGCATCATGGCTACATGCTTTTGAGGCCACGCAGAGCCTGTTTCCCAGCACAACCTCTGAAGAATGCTTGTACACGTGTACCATACAGTAGCAATCCAACAAGCATGAGCCAGCTCTTTCTGGTATAATCACAGGCCAGACAGAAGTTTGGGGATTTTATAACTGCAGCGAAAACGTCAGTGCATGAGTCAGATATTTTTGGTCTGTCCACCAGTGCAGAGGAAACACAAGCACACTTCTTTCCCCCCTAATCTTGGCCTCTGTCCTACATTCTTGTCGCAAAAAGAGGCCAAGATGGTGGGTGAATCACTGCCAGTCAAAAGTTGCCATCATCACCAGTTTTCTTTCTTTCTTCTTTTGTGCAGTTTAACATATCGTTACCTTATCTGTCTGAAAACATTCATTAACTTTTAAACACTGGTGTCATTCACATTTCCAACACTAATAAGACCAGAGGAAGTACCATTTTTGCTAGCATTGGTTAAATCAATAACTTATGTATTCCCACAACCTCTGTCATGAACCCAATGTGTTTTCATTTGTACATTCACATGTGGCTGCTACAAATTAAAAGTACCACCATGTGTTTGTTTACTAGAGTTTTGTAAATCAATCCTCATTGGAATATGTTTTTTTCTCCTTTAAAGCAAGAACTAGCATGTGCTCTACATATTTCGGTTGCCCTGACAACTTTGGTGAATGGTAAATTGAAGCATGAATGTTAATGTTAGACACAAAGTCTCCCTGCGAGAAGGATTTATAAATTTGTCATAGAGCTGCTTGTTTTCTCGTATGTCCCTGCATGAGTCAGCAGGAAGATGACGTCCATGCTCTGTTGGAGATGCTTTCACACAGCCATTTCTTATTTTTTAAAGTGCAGAGCATGAGGCGCGCTCCCTGCATCGAGGTTACTCCCGGTCTTGTGTTTGTTTGTTTTTATGCTTCGAACCATTTGTCTCCTCGGCTTTCCCAGGAGACGGTAAAGCAGACAGCAGTCATGGGCCAAGGTTACATCAAGTTGAGGATAGTCTATTAACTGGGGTCTTCAATGCTTACGTCAACACTCACTGGAGACTGTCAGAATTAAGCTGAATATTTCATCAGGCACTCTTTGAAAGGGAAATGGTGCTTAATGGAACCCTGATGTTGGGTGTGTTGATGTTGTGGTGTTTTGGCCCAATCTAGGTTGCAGTGGGAGCTGATAGAAGTTGTTTTTGTGATTCATTTTGTATGTAAGAAGTTTTTTATAGTTAAGCAATAGTTCACGACAGGCCTGAAGTGAGCTATTGCTTTTATAAAACGGTTACCAAGTGTGGCAATATGAAAGAAAAATACACACTCTAATTTAAATAGTTTTTATTAGTAAATAATGATGTTCAAAATAAAATAGTCCCTCCGTTGCCTTCTGCACGAAACATAGTGCGAGGTGGTTGCTATGCAACAACACTAACAGCTAGCGAACATATTAGACAGAGAGCGTTGATCCATTATTTGGCTATTTATTTACATTCATTTGTATGTTGCCGTTTATTGTGCACCCACTGAAAACCTGTGAACATCAGTAGCATGGCTTACGTGGTTACTTGTATAGGTTGAGGTTGTTCTAGGGCCTAGGCTGTTGCTTGGCGTGGTGAGAATATTGCTCCACTTTCTCCGGTCCCCGAGATTTGGCTTCCAGCAGCTCTGGAGAGAGCTTTTGCACCTGTGGCCACTAACGGTCATCATTTCTCTGCTTTGTTTCAAGACCCGCATCAGAAAGCTTTTGAATGGTGCTACTTTTCAAGTTGGTCTGCCTGCTCTTCACGTAGCTCTGCATGTCGTCGTTTAGGTGCTTTTTTTTTCTTCTGGAGATAGGCACTGCTCAATCCATTCCTCCATAGTAAGACCCCCCCGGAGGTCGAAGTTAATCTTAAATGTTTCCATTTTATGCTTTGTAAGTTTGTTTCGTAACGGAAGAAATGTAAATATATTTATAAAACTGACAAGTCAAATCAAGCAATCTGATTGGTCGATAGTGTTTTTGCGGACCTCTTTGATTACAGATTTGAAAACATCGTTGCTTGCTTTAAAAGTAGCACAATTCATTATGTCAAAATTGGAAAGTATCTAGATATCCCTGCCCTAATGCCAAAGGAACTGCACACTGAATATGTTTTGATGTCTATGTCTGGACCGCTGCGTAAAAAGGAGGGGTTCTGCCCCGTTTCTTCTCCGCTGCTTTCTTGTTCCAGTTTGAAAAGCATTGCTTTTTCAGCCCAACGGTATACTGTTTTTCTCAGACGCGGAGGGATACTGACTTGTTGTGATAAGTAACTTACAATTCTACCCGTGGTATATGTTAGTCTACTACAAATAAACATGACGTTTATCTTCTGTTAACTTGGTTTATTCAATCAACGTGCATAACACCAATACAGAGCCATTCACGAACAGTGGACCTCATGCTCCAGGTCGACACAGACTAACTGCGCATGCGTTTCACAGTCTCAAGAGGGCAACCTAGACTACCGTAAGGCCAGTAGTATAGGCGCAAAGAGATTACATGTTAACAATCTCATTCTATCTTTTTAAAGAAATAAACAAAACAAAAACAACTTTACATTGCATGAATCATAAAACAATCATACAGTGACTTAAAACAAAAATGTTTAAATTCCCTGAGTAGTCAACATAAATTAGGGAAACATTTAAGAAACAAATACAAAAACAAAGGTGTTTTCAATGTTCCATTTCAACAGACACTTTAACCCAGATCCCATTGTCCTTCACTGAGTGCTTTTAAGAGCACAAGAGCTGAAGCTCCTTTTTTTGTGAGACAGTCAGCGAGCTGAGATTTTGTGTCTGACCAACGCACCTGCTTGATCCTCTTGCTCTGTATGAGCTCCTTAATGCTACTGATTTCCAACCTGAGTCTCTTCTCTGTGACTTGTTTTGTGGACTTGAGCGCATCGAACAGAGAGTGGTTATCAGTCACACAGAGTACAGGGGGTGCATTCAGTCCAGCATTTCCAGTAGTGAGCTCAGAAAATAGTGTGGCTAGAAAAATTGCATTGTCTACCCCAGTGGTTCCCAAACGGTGTGCCGAGGCACACTGGTGTGCCGTGAGACAAGTCCGGGTGTGCCGTGGGATTTTGTGACAACCATATGTTATTATTGCAATATACAACTACACACAAATAATTATTTAATTGACTATATCAGTACTTTGTAGGTTTATATGTACGTAATCTGCGCGATTTGCGCGTCCACATCTCCACGTGCAGTGCTGCATAAACATGGCTGAGTCAGCGATAACTCTCGAGGGGTGGAGGTATGCCCATTACTTTGAGTTCGTCCGAAGAATAGACAGGAATGTGACGGTGAGGTGCAAACTGTCCAGGCCAGAAGCTGTTATCCACTGCTGGAAACACCACGTCAAACCTCAACAAGCACCTGCAAAGAACACATGCTAAGGTGAAGCTACCGCACACGCTATTTGTTGTTTGTTGATATCACGTAGTCTGTTCTTCTTCTCTGTCTTCCGGTTGTTGCCTGTTTTGAATGACAAATACACACTACCGCCGCCTGCTGGTAAGGAAAGTTATTGCCACTCACGCATGTGCAGTTCGTACGTGCTCGGCGAGTAAAGTAACGAGTAAAGTAACGAGTTACTTTATGTAGATAGTAACGAAGTAGTGTAATATATTACTTTTTTAAAAGTAATATATTACATTTTTTTAGTAACGACCCCATCTCTGGAGTTGGCGTTTTCTACGCTGATTTACATAAAGAACAACAGGAGGTCACAGCTCTCTGTTGAACAGGACTTGCGAGTGGCCCTCTCCTCAGCGCCCCGACACGCACATGTATCTCACTAATTTGTAAATCGGCAAAATATTTACAATAGCACATGTTTCAATGCTGATTGCTGAAATGTTACATTTATAATTTGTAGTTCAGGACCATGGACAATGCAGCTTCCTTGCATTGACAGTTCTCTGTGCTGAATTTCTGCTGAGTTTCCTTTGCCTCATTTTTTATTGTGTGACCTGTCTGGTTTAAATGAGTGTGTCGCTGCTTTGATGAAGCCTAATTTGATAAAGTTTCAAATTCATTTCTGAAATACTTCGTTAATAAATATTTCATGAGTAATATAGTTGTCTTTGTCACATTTTATTTGGCATTAGTAAATAATTATGCACATTTACAGATATTTTACATGATATGAGTGATAACACGTGTTATAAGGGCTATTTTGCACAATAGGTGTGCCTTGAGATTTTTACTTGTCCTTTGGTGTGCCTTGGGCACAAAAAGTTTGGGAACCACTGGTCTACCCCATCTGACATGGCAAGAGTTTCCCCTGCAAGGGTACTGCGAACCACTCGTCTGATTTTCTTTGAATGCCAACAGGGGGGAAAACTTCCCTCTTTCTCCCATAAGTGTTATAAAAGTACCTCCCTGTGTACCTCCGTCTGGGAGGTTTCCAAATGAAGCATTACTGAAAACTATCAAGTTCAAAGCATCACTGTTTCCCAGATGTTGAAATCTGAGTGTCACCTTTTCAGACTTTAGCTTACGGATTATCTTATTAGCATCATGAACAGACTGTACTGTTGCCCGTTTTATATTAGAAGCCAAACAACATGAATCAAACATTACATCAGGTCTTGTCTGTTTAGCAACCCATAGGATCTGTCCTATTTTTGATCGTAACTGCTCTCTCTCAGTTTCGTTGAGGGGTTCATTTCTCTGTGTGGCCCGACTTGCTTGTATGGGAATAGGCTCCAGGTTCTCGATATAACTTTGTTGATGTACCTGAACTTCACCGTTAACAGTTACCAAATCCATTCCTACATAGGAGAACTTTTCATGCTCCTCACGCCCAACCTTGAATGCAGACTGCAGTTGGGGGATCACATTGGATGAAAAGTTTGATGAGCCTGCCCAAAGAAAATCATCTACATGACACGCAAGCACCCCAGTGACCTTACATTGCTCATCCAACCAGTAAAAGACTGCCGGATCCACCTGTGACACTCTACCACCAGTACTCAGCATGATTTCCTTCACTTTGTTGTACCAATATAGTGATGCATCTGCAAGACCATATACACATTTCTTTAGTTTCCATACAACATGTTGACATCCTGCCTTTAGAGGGGGGCGGATATAAATATCCCTAGATAGCTCCATACCCTGCAAGAATGCAGATTTGATGTCCATAGAATGGACTTCCCACTTGTTTTGACATATCACTGATAACATGTCTAAGTGAATCTGTGGCACATGTGGGGGAATCTTTCGGTAACTCTTGAATATTCAGCTCTTCAAAACCTCTGGCAACCAGTCGGGCTTTAGGCACTATACCCTTGGGAGTGTCCTTAAGACTACAAACCCATCTGGTGGAAATGCATTTCTGCCCTGCATATTCAACTTCCTCAAATACATTATTATTGTGCCAGTTCTTTATTTCTTCCTGTTTAGCTGCATCAAATGAGATGTCTTTGGTTACAAGTACATCAGCTTCTCTGTCTTCTGTTTCAATGTTGAGATTATCAACCTGTGAGATATCAATTGATTCCTTTTGCCCATCACTACCATCATTCTCTAGATGTTGCATGTTATACCAGGTTTTATATTTCCCCGTAGCCTTGCCTGATCTCCCTAAGACTCTTGCTTTAAGTAGAGTATTGTCACCTCTGTTCATATATGTTACAGTCTGTCCTGTTTTTAAACTCACACCTGCAGAAGGAGCAGGATTATTATGGGCATTAGGCCTATGCGCCATTTCAGTTTGTGTTACGCTACTCAAAGTGTTTGGAGGATCGATCGCTTCACTTGTATTGGCTTCCCTGTCACCGAATTGTTGTTCATTCTCTGTATTTTGCTCACTGTCTAAACTACCAGTTGCATTGTTTATACCTTGCTCACTTCCTGCTTCTGTGTCAGCATCATTTTGTACCATTTGCTCTTCATTAACCTTTGTGTTCACCTTGGAAAGCCTAGAGTGATGCACTCTCACTAGGCAACCACCATGCCTCACAAAAACAACAGCCCCATCCTGACCAATAACTATCCCTGGTCCTTTCCACTCAGTGCATTCAGCTCGTTTGTAATACACCTTGTCACCCATCTCATATTTCTCATCTATGGGTCTGAGCTGCTTAGGTCGTGCTCGTCTTATCCTTTCTGAGCACTCTGCTTCAGTAAATGCTTTTCTAGAGGCATGCAAGGCTGAAATGTGCTCTCCTACTCTAGCACTCATAGTGGTACCTTCTAGCGCAGGTGGTTTATCAACCAGTACAGAAGGAAGGTTGGGGTTCTGGCCAAACACCAGTTGATGAGGACTGTAGCCGTGCACATTGAGCATACTGTTCTTAGCCATGAGAGCCCAGTCTAGGGCTGTTTGCCAGTCACATCCATTTTCCCGTCTGACCTTCTGGATGATGTCGGTGAGGGTCTGATTGTGTCTCTCCAGTAGCCCATTGCTCCAGGGGCTGTATCCTGCCGTGGTTTTTGTCTCAATGTTAAAGTTCTCTGCCATGTCACGGAACTCTGCATTGTTGAATTCTCCTCCATTGTCACTGTAAAGTCTCCGTGGTGGGCCGTGGACGCTGATCCATGTATGAAGGAAAGAGTTCACCATCACAGAGGAATTCTTTGTTTTCACAATGCTTCCAGCGCTGAAACGTGTAAATTGGTCAATGATGTGGAGGTACCATAAACTTGGTTCCAACTCGTGCAGGTCCACTGCCACCGTTTCATTGTACTCTGAAGCCAGAGGCAAGCCCACAGCAGGCTTCGGCTTGGTCTTGCTGTATCTCTGGCATATGTCACAGTCCTGTACTATTTGTTGTAAAATAGTGTCACAATCTTTGTCTTTATTTCCCGAACTGCGGAGGAGTTGCTGTAGTCTTTCTGCGGAGGCGTGACCAAACTGTTTGTGTAGTTTCAGGAGAGCTTTGTGTTTCTCATTTGAGGTCATATTTTCTGTGACTGTAAGGACCTCATCTTCATTCTGGCTGTTTTCTGAGACTGTAAGGACCACATCTTTAATTTCAATTTGATTCATTCCTGTGTCCTTGTCTCTGATATCTATACAGTAGTGTCCTGAACTGGTGAGTTCAAGAGGGATATTCTGTTTAAACATCACAGCTCTATCATTCTCCATGTCCAAGATGGTTCCTGCCCTTTTCAGTGAAGTCTTACTCGGAAGTAGTGGGATATCAGCTTTGACTACTTCAGTTTCCACTCGACATTTTGTCTGTCCTATTTTGGCAGGCAGTTTCAGTATTCTGGAGGAATGCACTATATTTCCATCTCCAAAACGGAATGGTCTGGAGCTTGGAGTTTCACTTTTCACAATCTGGTTCACTTGACTTTGACTGAGATCAGCGCCGAAGCTGTCCAACCATTTTTCTCCACACACTGTGCGGGTACATGCAGTGTCAATGATAGCTGTCCCTAAAGACTCAGTTAGGAATACCTCTGATTCAGACAGTGAGGCTTTAGTAAACAGTGTAATGTCACATTCCTCTACCTTTGTTCGATCTTCAGTTAGCTTTACTTGTTCGCTACTCTTGTGAGGACAGTCTTTAGCCCAATGGAACGTGCTCTGACATATAGCACATTTTGATCTCTTACCGAACCTATCCAGTGGGTTGGTACCCTGTGACGGTTGCCTTTGTTGTCCAACTCGTCCAAACTGATGCGTTGTTGGACGTCTGAATCTTCCTTGTGAGCGTTGCTCTGTGAATAACGCTTCATCGTTAACATGTATTCCGTTTGATGTGCCGCCTTGCACTCTCCCCCCAAAGATCCTCTTCAGCGCAGACTTCATTGCAGCAAACGTTAAATCTGTACACGCGTCAGCGCCATTTGTCTATTTTTCTCGTCTAGACAAGCCGTGTCCAAAAGTTTAAAAGCTAGCACGGCGTCAGGAAGAGTCATGTCGTACTTTTTCATTCGGTTGTATCGCTGTTCAAAGTCAATCACATAGTCCGCCATGGACACGGAGCTCTCCTTTTTGATACAGTTAAAAAAAGAGTAAGCATCGTATGCGCGGTCTCTCTCTTCTTTGAGAAACATGCCATCTAGTTTTGCTAGCAGTGTGTCCATACCATTGTTGTTGTTCAAATCCAAAGCGGGTATTTCCATGGCGATGTCCCTTGCCCTTCCTTCCAGCCCCAGGACAACGGCGAGGGCTTGTTTCTTCTTATCAAGTTCAGTAACCAGCTTCCAAATGGCGATTTCATTTTTCCAACACTCGTATGGTCGGGATTCGTCGAACTTCGGTGGAACTTTGTAGTTAGCAGTAGCCATCTTCTGCTAACCATCCTCTGCTACCAATGTTAGTCTACTACAAATAAACACGACGTTTATCTTCTGTTAACTTGGTTTATTCAATCAACGTGCATAACACCAATACAGAGCCATTCACGAACAGTGGACCTCATGCTCCAGGTCGACACAGACTAACTGCGCATGCGTTTCAAAGTCTCAAGAGGGCAACCTAGACTACCGTAAGGCCAGTAGTATAGGCGCAAAGAGATTACATGTTAACAGTATACGCTCAGTATATCACGGCTAAGAACCAATCAGATTGCTTGATTTGACTTGTCCGTTTTATAATGCTTTTTCTAATGCTCAGATGTTGACCAGTCGTCTCTGATTATTTGTGTCCCCTCAGTCCTCCACCCGGCCCCCAACCAGCTGGTCCAGAGCATGGCAGACGGAGTCCGCGTGACGTTCAGCAGACCCAGTCGACCTCCCAACATTCCCTCTCCTCCTCCACTCATTCCAACCACCAAGCCCACCGACAAGCCCTCCTTCATCCAAGGAGGCTCCATATCCCAGGTAAGACATTAAAGAGGATTGATTGCCTGTTGGAGCAAGTGGAGTAACCCTACTCTTAGTATTCCACACCACTGACATTCACATCACACTGAGAGCCAACTGTAAAGGTTCCTTGTTGAGTTTTTGACTTTCGCTGAGTGGGTGGGTACATGTGTATCGGAGGGATGCAGTACACATTCCAGCCAACGGTTTTACACTATTCCCATGTTCTACAGGTGGCTGCAACACGATAAGATATGTTGTAATGCGCAAGTAAAGATAAGGAAGAAGGACATAGCCAGCATGTTATCATGAATATAAACAATGCTAAAAATATTTCTTTTTTATTTTCGGTTTTGCAAAGGTTTTATGACATTCAACCCATTTATTAGACGTGTTTCTCTGCACACAACGTTTGCCGTTTACGAAAAAGCTCCACAATGCACATTTTATTCATCAACATCATGTGAGCTGTCTCTTAGAATTAAGACATATGGGTTGGATGATGAGCTGTTTTTCACAACAGACTCACACAACACTGTTTTAGTAACATTTTGTTGGGTTGATTCAGATTGCTCAAGCACAAATCCATACTAGACACTTTCTTATTTTTGTGGACACCTGACTTGCCTTTAAAATGTGTTCTCTGTTCCTGCTTTTCCAGGGAACTCCCGGCACATACCTGCCGTCCCATGCTGTCTACGGTCCGGAGGGGACTATGAGCGCAGTGGGTTCCATCTCTTTAGGTCTGCCTCGGCAGCAGGATCCTAACAAACCTGGTAGGACTACACACACTGCACATTACTAAGAGTATGCTCATATGCAGCTTTAGACATTAAGTCTCAACCTAACTTAGTTAAATAACACCTAAGAGACTAATATATATTTATGGTCGTAAGGTTTTCTCCTCATCACAACATCTTGGTAAAGCAAGCATTTTTGTATGATAACTGTATTGATTTCAGTACTTTTCTTTTATAAGTAATGTTTTTGTATTCAAATCTTGAAACAGTTATTCCTACCATATTCACTAACCATGCATGACTTAATTCTCTTTTTTCTTCTTCTTTGTAATCCTCCAGGAGCTGCAGTTCCATCCATGCAGGACGGCAGGGGCAACCCAGCAAAGATGGGCGAGGGTATGACTAAGAGAGGGTCCATAACTCAGGTAACAAATGGTTGAAGTGGTCAGATAATTGTTAGATTTTCCCATATAGTTAATATGTGTTTGCTTTTTATTTTTCATAACATTTTCCCTCTTTTCTACACAATAGGGCACGCCAGCCCTTTCCCAGCCCATCATGGCTGCTGACCTCCTGAAGGGCACCATCACAAAGTTGGCCACAGAGGACATGAGCAACCCAGACAAGGCCAGGGGAGACCAGCTGTCTAAAGGTCATGTCATCTATGAAGGGAAGAGTGGTCACATCCTCTCCTATGATGGTAAGTGCTTAGTATGGAAGCCTTGAGAGTTCAAGTGAGAGAATATCTGGTGGTGATGTATTTACCATCTCTGATCCAAATAGTCTTTTCTCCTGTGTTTATGACTTCAGCACAGATTTATTTTTGTAAAATATTTTCATTTATTTCTGTTTAGAGTAGAGAATGATAAAAAGCAACTTGACAACAACCAACATTTCACCTACCAATGGATCACCAGAATCTGTTGTTCTCCCTTGCCTTTCAATGCTTTCCTATCTTTTATTATTGGTACATCAAATAATTGTTGAGTATTCCTTTACTTTGCACATAAACTACAACATGTATTTTTGTGCCCAAAAGCTATCAAGAACCCAAGGGAAAACACCCGCAGTCCCAGGACACCCCTTGAGCTTAAACGCACTTACGACATGATGGAGGGACCCTTGGGCAGGGGACACCCATTCGAGGGTACATTTTGAGTGTTAATGAGTAAAACCTTTTTTACTGTTTTTCTTGTCTTGTATTGGGATACTGACTTTGCTCGTTTGTTTCAGGGTTGATTAGCAGAGCCTTGCCCAGAGAAGGTCAACATGGAGATTCTAAGGAAAGACCAATGATGACTGGATCCATCATGCAAGGTAAGCTAATTGTAAAGCATTCAACATTAATATAATGTTTTATTCAGTAGCATCATAAATTAGGATAAGGCTAAAATACTTCTCAAATCTTTCCAGGAACACCTAGAACAGCTGCAGAGACTTATGAAGATGCCATGAAATATGGAAAGCAGATAAAGCGTGAGAGCCCTCCCATCCGCTCCTTCGAAGGGGGAATTGGCAAGGGCAAGCCCTATGAGGGAGTCAACACCATCAAAGAGTTGGGACGCTCCATTCACGAAATTCCCAGACAAGAGCAGTCCGGCCAGGATGTCTGCAAGACCCCCGAAATGTCAGACAGGAGGGGTATGGAGGGCTCCATGTCCCAGGTAAGACCATTTTCTTTGTGGACAACATTTATTATTGTTATTCTTTCAGGGCTGCACAATAATCATAATTATTTTTGATCAAAATTGAGACCCCGATTCCCTCATTAACTTTATCGGGTTCCATAAAAAACATTGGGTTTAAATATGAAATACTTCTGGAAATAAACCCTATGACAAAGTCTTCTCGGTAAACTCTCGTTCCATGATAAGGGTAATACGATAGACACTTACTCTTGTTTTGTTTTCAGTGTTCATGTAGCATTAATAACACACTTTACAAATCTGTTTTTTTTTTTTATTAAGCCACATGGGCACTGATAGCCTACGTGACAACGTACTTAATAAAAGCATTCAGGCATATGCCAGAACACCACTAGCAAGCCTAGCATAGCTGCTCCCTAGAAATTGAAGCCAAAGCATCTCTATCGCCACCTGGTGGCTGGCTTTTTAGTTTAGGAAGCGCTTAAATAGATTTTCAGCTGCGTTTTCTATGAATGAAGCACACATTTAAAAGTCAGGAATTTGATCATGTTTATTTAATTATTAGAAACCAAAATTGGGATTGAGATACATATTTTATTAATTGTGCAGCCCTACATTCTTTAGATCTGTTCAGTGAACATTAATGGCTTTTTTATGGGGCTTTATTTTACCTTTATGATTTTGAATATGCTTATTCAACAAACATACAAAGTCCTATTAGTTATAAATGAATGACTAACTTGTTGTTGCTGTCATTTACTAGATTCACCCTCACAACCAGTCGACCATCAAGCACAACGTCAAGTCCCTGATCACCAGTCCCAATAAGCTTCCCCACAACATGCCCCAGCTCGATGCCATGGAAAGAGCCAAATACGAGGAGGGCAAGGCGGTCCGCCAATCTGTGCTCAACTCCACCTCTGTCCTGCGCTCCACCCACCAGGAGGCTAACAAGTCTCAGCTTAGCCCAAGCATGTACGAGGACGCCAACGCTCGCAGGACCCCTGTCAACTACAGCACCAACCCTGGGTCCAGAGGATCACCCATGATGGGACGTACACCCGAGGGTAGGTTTCGTAACTATTTTAATCACAAACTATTGAACTTTTGGTTCCCAGCCAATCATTACATGTCCAAAACTATATATTATATAGTTGGATCAAATTGAATTAGACATTTATCTTGCATAACTAGGTTATCATTTTTATAAAATAACAATATTCGGAGTACAAACTAAAATGCACACAGTGCTGAGGGTATTGATATTAAAAGTAGGCTTAAAAAATCCCAATTAATTTAAGAAGTTTATCCAACAAAATGTGTAAGAATACAAAATGTTTCCTTTAAAACTAAATGTATTTTCCACAGAAATGTGTTATCCAATGGAAATGACCTTTGACGAGGGAACCAGAGCAATGCTAACTCCAGGGTTGGCCCTCTAAATGACCTCCGTATATACTGTATTTACTAAGTTGTTGTGCAACCAATCTTTTACTTACTAGAAGAGCCGTGTGTGTTCCTCTCTTTCCCACAAAGGTGTTATGAGCTCTGTGAAATCTGCTGCACATGAAAGAAAGAATGCCATGACCCCGACACAGAGGGAAAATATCCCTTCCAAGTCTCCAGTGACGGGCGGTGACCCTGTGGGCTCTCACAGCCCCTTCGACCCCCAGCACCGGCACATTGTTCCTGGAGAAATGTACCGAGCACACCTGCCTCCACACCTGGACCCCACCATGGCCTTCCACAGAGTGCTCGATCCTGGTACAGTATTTCAAAACCTTTTAAACAAAAATATAACAGTTTGGATTCTGGGTTAATTTTCATAAACAACTCAGACTCTAATTCATAGGCACTACATGGTCAGGATTTGTTTTCAGCTATTGGCATCAGCAGTCGCGATCAGTATCTGTGAGGCCTTCTGTTCATATTTGTTTTTCTCTTTCTTTTTGTTTTTCATCGTCTGCTACAGCATTCATGTTCCCCAGGCAGCCGTCTCCAACCGGCTACCACAACACGTACCAGCTGTACACCATGGAGAATACACGGCAGACGATCCTCAATGATTATATCACTTCCCAGCAGATGCAAGTCATCCGACCTGACATGGCCCGAGGGTTGTCACCGCGGGAACAGCTCCCTTACGCAGCCGGACCCGGAGGTACGGACCTCCACCAGCTGACCCTCTCTTACCTGGGGGGTGTAGAATGCAGACTGTGTGCTTGTGAAGTAGTGGCTACCTTTTCCAGATGCCCAGAAGCAAATGACCTGGTCAAATTTAGCTGATTTTGCTCTTAATTTTGGGGCTGCAACTGATTCGGCTACTACTCAATTCATGATCGGGTACGGTCTAAATTTCCATTTGCTGAGTGGTTGCCTCTTACAAGTTCACCACTATTCCACTCCCCTTTGCAGCCCTGTTGCTTACTGATCAATCTGTATTTGTGAGCACTAACACATGATGGTGACGGGTTAAAGCTAAATGTATACGGTGTTCATACGTTCAAAAATTAATGAATCGGTTCTTGTTGTTCACCGTTGGCCCTTTGCTTCTGTCTGTAAAAGGGATAATTGATCTAGCCCAGATGCCTCCAACTATCCTGTTACCTCACCCTGGGGGAACAGGTAATCCCACTTTGGAACGCATCGCCTACCTCCCCGGAGCTCAGCCCCCTTTCCCTTCTAGGGCTTTCAACCCAACCTCCATATCGCCAGGTGAGGACCCCTCCCTTCCCCATCCCTACACGTGTTTCCTTATCCTTCCCCGCCATGACCTCCATGTTCCCTCACGCCTCTGCGAGTGTGAGTGCACTGAACAGAGTTGGCAAAGGTTTGTTCTGCCTATCCAGTGACAGATCAAGTCTTACTGCTATCTCACTGGGCGGGATTTCTCACAAATCTGTTGGTCTGTTGCACGGTGTGTTTTTCTTTTTAATCTTTAGAAATTATGCTCCTACATAGATCATTTTTTAGGGGCACACAAGCTATAGGTTCGAATAGATTTGTGTATTGTACAGATTATTACAATGCCTTTAAACAGTTTCTAATTACAGTTGAGACGTTTGAAGTATATCATAGTAAATGCAACTAAAAGCAGCAGCACTGTAATGAACCCTGGATGGTCTTTTGCACTCATGGTTTTGACTAAAATGGTAAATATAAGAATATTCCTGACACTGAATTTGACCAGGGTTGTGATTTGTTGGAACACCTTTGGTTCAGATATCTAAAGGAATCCTGGTCCATCCGGCTGAGACCTTGTGAGTAGTGTGTGTGGATAAATCCTGTGTGTTTGTTGTGTCTGTCTTTGTCCTCAGGCCACCAAGCCCACGTTGCTGCCGCGGTTGCTGCCAGTGCGGAGAGGGAACGGGAGAGGGAGCGTGACCGGGAGCAGCAGGAGAAAGAGCGAGAGAAGGAAAGGGAGAGGGAGCAGCGAGAGAGGGACCGGGAAATACGGGAACGAGAGCGGGAACGGGAGAGAACCAACGAATACATGCGCGGAGGTGAGCTTTGTAAAAGTTGGGAAAGCCTCAATTCAAGATCATCATCTTTATATCCCTTTATAATATAAAAAAAAGTTTTCACCCACTCTATGGAGAAAAATGTTACCAATTTATAAAAATACTTCTGTTATTAGTCATTAGTTGACCACTAACAAAAAAAAGTTCCTGATAAATGTCCTCTCTTTTGTCCACCTACACATTTTTCTAAGTCTCTTCTTTTATGTAGTCGGTTGACAATGTATCATAGTAGACAATATGACATAGAGGATCAAACAAAAATTGGATAGAACAAAAATAGAAAAAAGTATATTTAAGACTTCATCTACAACTTTGGTTTGCACAGACAAAATAACCCTAAGTTATTCCCTAAGACATTCCCTGAACAGTAAACATACTAGTTTATCTGATATACTTTGCAAAATGAAAAACAGTGTTGCATATAATAATTGTTAGACAGCGATTGCTTTTTGTCACTTTATATTGAAACCCACTTTTACAATGTCCCATGTTTTTGTGTGTTTCAGGTGGAGCAGAGCAGCCCGGCCGGCCAGGGAGTCGAGGTTATCTGCACTCCCCCTCCCCCTCGCTCAGGACGCAGGAGGTGGTGGTTCAGCAGCGGCCTAGCATCTTCCAGGGCAAGAGTGTCATCACCGCTCTGATGTAAGTCTCTACCTTTTCCCCCTAGATCTAAGTTGGCTCACTTATACTTCTTCTCCTGTTTCCTCATGAAAACACATTGTGCATCCTTTTTAAAAGCATTTCTTATGTCGTTACGGTACAAAAAAGTCCTTTTAAGACATTTGTTTATGTCATATTCCAGTCATAACTAACGCATTTTACTATATTAAAACTGTTACAAATGTTGTTTCGATAATGCAATAGTTTGTTAAATAAAAAAAACAAACAAGTTATTATTTTCTGTATGTTTCACAATTCATTTAAATGCATTTCAAACAAATTGTAGTTTCCGATTTCATTAAAAACGTCCTCTTGTAGCCTTCTTTGGACAAAATGTCAGTATAATTTGTTATACAAAGATAAAAACACAAGATTGAAATATTTTCTGTATTTCAGGCTGTATACTAAATACAATGAAATATAGTTGATGCCTTTATCTCTTTTTTTCTCTTCAGGCCTCAAACAGCAGCAGCAGCAACAGCAGCATCACAGAGCGGCTCTCGCTACAGCACTGCAGCTGATGCTCTGGCTGCTCTGGTGGACGCTGCAGCCTCCGCTCCTCAGATGGACGTCGCCAAGGTGAAGGAGAACAAACAAGAACGGGAAGACGAAATGTCGAGGCGAGCAGTCAGCATGTCCGAACAGCAGCAGCAGCAGCATCTGCAGCAGCAACAGCATCATCTGCAGCAGCAGCTTCAGCAGCAGCATCAACAACAACAGCAGCATCAACAACAACAGCAGCATCAACAACAACAGCAGCAGCAGCATCAACAGCATCAACAACAGCAGCAGCAGCAGCATCAACAACAGCAGCAGCAGCAGCAGCAGCAGCATCAACATCAACAACATCAGCAGCAGCAGCAGCACGAGGCAGAGAGGCGCTCCATGCAGTCACCATACGGTGCTATGTCTTTGCCAGGGGGTAAGCCTCATTCTGCTTACTCTGAGGGGCCCGGAGCTAAGGATAAGGGCCCTCCAACGTCAAAGTCTCGCATCGAAGAGGAGCTTCGGACTCGTGGAAAGACGACTATCACAGCAGCTAACTTCATTGACGTCATCATCACGCGGCAGATAGCCTCGGACAAGGACTCAAGAGAGCGAGGCTCTCAGAGCTCAGACTCCTCCAGCAGCTGTGAGTGTTACACATGATGTTATTCAAACAGCTCATAGGTGCACTGCAACACAATGACATCATCAGTCAATCTTTAATGTCATCTTTTTCATAGAGTAGAACATGATCAAACCTTCATATTGTGTCCTTGGCTTCACACAAGTAGTAACTCTTTGTCCATGCTTGTCTTGCAGTGTCATCTAATCGATACGACAACACCGCCGGAGGAACCATCGAGGTGATCAGTCCTGCTAGTTCCCCAGTCCAACCCCAACAGGAGAAACCAGAGGAAGTGCAACCACAGGCAGCAGGTATGAACACACAAACTCCATTTGAGCATATCATATTTTGGAAGAAGAATTATACTTTACAGAAGCCCTCAGAGGAATAAAGGGAAAATAATTCAACCGTTTTCTCATATAAAAAGTGTTTCTCCTGTGATGTGACATAAGATCAGGTAATATTTGCATTTCTAAATCATCTGGATGATTTTTAGCATTACTCATTTAAGCCACAATAAATGAAAGTCAACAAGGTACATTATTGTGTGTTAGCCTCACACATCATGATGCACCCTGTGCCAGTGTATAGATATTAAGTCTCTCCTGGAAGTAAACATTGATGCATTTAGTCTCACTTGGGGTAACATGGGCCGTATCTCATTTCTGAGATTCCCCTCCTCGACTCCCTCCTCGACTCCTATCCTCGACTCCTATCCTCGTGTCTTAGTCCCGCCCACAGGAGATGCGAGCGGAGGAGCCGAGGAAGGGAGTCGAGGAGAGAGGAGGGGAAGCAGCAGGCGGTTAGAGAAATGAGAACTCCTCTCTGAGCGGTCATATTAAAGAGACACACACACACACACACACACACACACACACACACACACACACACACACACACATATATATATAACGGACAAGTCAAATCAAGCAATCTGATTGGTTCTTAGCCGTGATATACTGAGCGTATACCACGGGTAGATTTGTAGTTACTTTTCACAACAAGTCAGTATCCCTCCGCGTCTGAGAAAAACTGTAAACAGTTGGGCTGAAAAGCAAACTGCAGGGGTTGTCGACCCTCCGCTTCGCGTCGGGCCGAACCACGCCCCTTAGCTGTGATATAATGAGCATATACCACGGCCTGTCGTGAGCTATTGCTTAAATATATATATATTTATATAAATATATATATATTTATATAAATATATATATATTTATATAAATATTAGGGCCGGGACTCGATTAAAAAAATTAATCTAATTAATTAGAGGCTTTGTAATTAATTAATCGAAATTAATCGCATTTTTAATCGCATATAAATATTTGACCTAAGAACAGTGAGAAGCAATTTTTTTCACATGGATTTTAGTATACCATTAGGCGCATTCACACCGCAGTACTTTTCCCACAAAGGTTCATGAGAACTTAGTTCATGAGAACAAATGAAGCCGCTGACGTCACTTCTTCTTCTTCTGCTTTGGGTTTACTGGCAGGCCGCAAACCACTTCACGGCGTATACTGCCGCCCAAAGTCCCCGGCCGGAAGTCCCCGGAGTTAGGGACTGGCTTCAGTAGAAGCTGCTGGGACTCCCAGCAGCTTCTACTGAAGCCTTCCGAGTAAATCGCCAGAACGCCGACACCTCCTCATCTCCACCGCTCCCATGTTTTATTTTGTGTTGCCATAAGTTAGTCTCTCTGCGTTTCTGCGCTGGGCTAATGCTAATGCTAATAATGCTAATGCGAGGATAATAAAATGGCGGCTTCACCAAACTTTTTGGGAGTTTTACGGGGCGTGGTTTGCAATCCGCCCAGCCAATCAGACATATAGCTCTTTTCCGCACGAAAGTCCCTGCTCTCTAGCAGCTCTCTGCTCTCTAGCAGGGACTTTCGTGGGGGTAAAAAGGTTCTCATGAACTAATTTTAGTACCGGCTCTTTTTGGTGTGAACCATAGACTGTATGGTGTGAACGCGATAAAAGAGGCTAACGTCCACGCTAGCTTCCACGCTAGCTGCTATATGTTTTGCATTGAGGTGATACTTGAGGCTTGATGTGCTGCGGTGATATGCGAATTGCTTTTTGCATAATTTGCACACAACCGTGCTCTTATCGACGCTTCCATCCGTCCGTTTTTTAAAACAACATTTCCCACTGTTGTTCACTGTGGTTTGTTGTTGTCTGAAGTCATGAACGTTAGTTGGTGCTCCAGTATAATCGGTACGCCTAAAACTCATCCAGTGAGAAACGTTCCGCGGTGCAAAAATAAGTGTGATTAAAATGCGTTAATTTTTTTAACGCGTTAATTTTTGTGTAATTAATTAATCTTAATTAACGCGTTAAAGTCCCGGCCCTAATAAATATATATATATTTATATAAATATATATATATTTATATAAATATATACAATTACAGAATCAAACAAGTATGAGAGCACTCTCATAATAACGTAACACTATCAGAGACTGGATATATATCCCCCCCCCCCCCCCCCCCCCCCCCCCTCTGGTCGCTAGAATGAGGAAAATTAATTACGGGTATTAAAAGTAAGCAGAGGACACCAAACCAACTGAGACCCGTCTATCCGTTGCATCTACGCACACACTGTACCACACACACACTGTACCACCACACACACCTACAGCACCTAAATCATATAATCAGGCTACAGCCATTGTGTATTTTATTATGTGAAGCACTAAATGGTCTTAGAAAAATATCGACTCTTTGTTTGTAGATATCTACTAAACTAAAGCAATTAAAGAGAGTAGGCCTGTTATACTGAGTGATTTATATTATACACACTGCTCTGCGTTCTGCACGACCTCACAGCTGTTCTCACTGTAAACATTGCGTCCGCGATGAAAGCAGTTAATAAAATAATATCCAGGGGATGCATGCAGAGCTGTCATTGGCTGAGATCAGTCCGGCCGTGCGTCACGACTCTTTGAAACATCTCTGTTGCCGGAAATGCATCCGTGGAGGACCCATCAGTGTATCCTCGATTATAGCTCCTCCAGAGAGCCTCCTCGACGCTCGATCCTCGGTCCTCGATGTGCATTTAGAGAAAATAGATGTCCTTCAACATCGCGCACTGAAATTCATTTCCGGGTCACTACCGGAGGACCGAGGAGTCGAGGAGGGGAAATCTTTTAAATGAGATACGGCCATGGGATACTGGTGCTTGTGCCCAAAGTGAGAATTGCAACAACAAAAACAAACCAACCTTTCAAAACCATTGCCCCAACCATTCTCACAGAACTTGGAAAGATTGTCCTGGAAAGAAAGAAAAAACACCTGTTTTTAAATCATAAAGACACAAGAGATAACTACTTTCAGCCTTAGAACATGGATCACCAGAATTTCTTTTTTCAGTGCAATACTGAATAACATTTTTTATTAGTTTAAGTGTTCGGCTTTAGATCATAAAGGACATGTTACAAATGTGGCTGTGACGGCTCAATTTAGCTGCCTGGCAAGTGAAGTAAACATACCTTAACTTAAATGACTTCACCCACTTTGTCACGACACTCCTCTGGAAGTTATTCCTGTCTCCTGAAAACTCATGCAGAGCGGTGGCTGTTGGCACCCATTTAAGCTCCTCCCTGTTTTAATGAATCCACACCTCACCCTGACTCTCTGTCCCATGTGAACCTACAGCAGCTGGCATGCGGGCCTATGACATGAGTCGTTACCGGCAATCTGCAGAGCCCCCCCAGCAGCCCCCCTCTTCCCAGGGTGAAGGCTACTCCCAGGTTCCCAAGACTCACCGGTTCATGACCTTGGCAGACCACATTTCGGTAGGAAACACATAAGAATAAATAAAAATAAAATAATGCTGAAAATGTAGATTTACCATGAAGATAAACCCACCGTACCTAACTGTTTTATCGTCACTCCCTGTCATGCAGCATATCATCACCCAGGACTTCGCCAGGAATCAGGACCCTCCTCCCGTCTCCTCCTCAGCTTCGGCAACATTCCAGAGCTCAATGCCATCCGTGTCCTCGTCAGGCCGGGCCAAGGGGCACAGCCGCTACAGTCCTGAGAATCAGGGCCAGGCCTCTCACCACCAGAGATCCACCAGCAGAGTTTCCCCAGAGAACGCCCCTGACAAGCCCAGAGCGAGGTACACAGACCATCCAGTTAACTATAAAAACAATCACAGCGAGTCTGATTTATTCCTCATCATCAGGCTAACGTTTGTCCCTCTCTGCTCCCTATCTAGGCCCGGTAAATCTCCAGAGCGAAGCGGCAGGCAGATGGAGAACTATGAACCCATTTCTCCACCACAGAGCTACCAGGGCATGGAGAAACAGGAAGCGGCCGGGCATCCACCCCAGAGACGAGAGGCTGAAAACTCTGAGATCAGGTACGGGATATCAAGTTTTTTTACTTTATAGTTTGAAGTTCAATTCAATTCAATTCAAAACCTTTATTTATACAGATAAAACCCATTGAGATCATAGACCTCTTTTACAATGGTGACCTGCTTCAATTAGTTCCAAACATTAATACAAACATGACAGAAAACAAAGGACATTATATGATACTACAGTTTGTATACTAGTAGCATTTACAGACACCAATATTTTCTGATTGTATAGCGTCTATCCTAGCTTTAAAAACATGAAATGGAATCAAACCGCTTAGCTTCCATTCCTTTTGTAGACTGTTCCATGCTAGTGGCGCTGCGCATCTAAAAGCTGTATTTCCTAATACAGTCCTAGCAGTTGGCACATGTAATACAACCACAGCTTTAGATCTCAGGCAGTAGCCATTTACAATACGCTGGGAGATCAGGGAACAGATGTAAGACGGAAGTTTCCCTAACATTGCTTTATAAATAAAAAGATACCAGTGATTTAGCCGCCGTACAGTAAGTGAAAGCAACCCTGCCCTTGTATACAGGGTACAATGATGAGTCAAAGTCTTACAGTCTGTCACAAACCTTAGTGCACTATGATAGGCGGCATCTATCTTGGTGAGGTAATTGGCCGGCGCATTCATATAAAATAGATCACCATAGTCCAGCACAGGTAAAAAGGTCACAGTGACTAGCCTTTTCCTGGCCTCAAGAGAGAAACAGGACTTGTTTCTATAAAAAAAACCTAGCCTAACCCTCAGTTTTTTAAGCAGGTTATTTACATGCAGTTTAAAAGAAAGACAGTCATCAAGCCAGATACCAAGGTATTTGTAAGAGGTTACCACTTCAAGTTTTTTTCCTTGCATGGTTACAATATCTAAAACAGGCTCTGGTGACTTTTTAGCTTTTGAAAAGAGCATTAACTTGGTTTTATCCACATTTAAAAGAAGCTTAAGCGCTGAGAGCTGAGTCTGAACAGTGTTAAAAACAGTCTGTAATTTAACAACAGCCTCCTTAATGGAGGGACCTGCACAATACATCACAGTATCATCCGCATAAAAATGTAAGGTAGCTTCCTCCACATTATCACCCAAGCTATTAATATAAATGGAGAATAAAAGTGGACCTAGAACAGAACCCTGAGGTACACCATTAGAAATGCTCAACCACTCAGAAGTGAGCCCATCAAAGTGTACACATTGGGACCTTTCAGAGAGGTAGTTCACAAACCACCCCACTGCAAGGCTGGACAAGCCAATGCTGAGTAGCCTCTGTTTTAAAATGCGATGATCAACGGTGTCAAACGCTTTAGAGAGATCAATAAACAGAGCTGCACAACTCTGCTTATTATCTAAAAAACTAGTGATGTCATTTACAACTTTCATTGTGGCAGTGATGGTGCTATGTTTTTTCCTGAAGCCCGACTGATGTTTCGACAGGATATCATTTATACATAAAAAGTCCTTTACTTGCTCACTCACTAGTCGTTCAAGCACTTTAGCCAGAACTGACAATTTCGAGATTGGCCTATAGTTATTTAAAATAGTTGCCTCCCCTCCTTTCAGTAAAGGCAAGACATAAGCAGACTTCCATACTTTAGGAATTGTATTTGTGCTAAGGGAGAGGTTAAAAAGAGAAGTAAGCGGTGGAGCAATAAAATCTACAGCTATCTTTAAAAAGAAAGGTTCTAGGTTGTCCGGGCCAGCCGGTTTCCTAGGATCTAACTTGGATAAAACATCATGGACAACACCAACAGTAAAAGGGGTAAAACTGAAAGGGTTTTCCAGACCACATTGTTCAAGGATTGGAGCGTTCACAGAAGCAGAAGCACAGTCAGTGACAGAATCAAACAGCGAGCCACAAGACACAAAATGCTTATTAAAACAATTGAGCATAGTAGCCCTGTCTGATATAATGCCAGATTCTGTGGTAAGGCATGGAGGTAGCTCATTTGGAATATCACCAGTGGAAATCAATTTTATGGCTTTCCAAAATTTCCTAGGATTATTCAGATTTTCTGTGGTAACTGACAAATAGAACTTTGATTTAGCACTTTTTATTTGTGATGTGAAGCTATTTCTTAGCTGCCTAAAGCGTAGCCATTCTACCTCTGAGCCTGATTTCCTAGCCTTAGCCCAGGCATTGTTTCTCTCATGAAGGAGACTGGACAGTTCAGCGGAAAACCAGGGATTGTCTCGACCCTTCACTCTGAATTTACGCAGAGGTGCATGTTTATCTATAATTTTCATAAAACCAAGATAAAAATAAGACCATGCAGTCTCTACATCCGCACACAGATTGATCTTACCCCAATCAAAATCAAACAGATCGTGTAAAAAACCCTGCTCCACAAAGTGTTTTTTATCTCTCCTTGTGATAATGCGTGGTTTCACTTTTTGGATCTTAGTGTCCCTAATTGTGGCTACAACACAGTGGTCACTCACATCATTAGCGAATACTCCCACAGATGAGTATTTATGTGGCACATTTGTTAAAATGAGATCAATTAAGGAGGATTTATTTGGGGATTTAATGTTTGTTTTTGTTAAAGTTGTTGTGCATCTCAATAGCTGAAGCTGATAAAGAATCTGTTTTAAAATGTTATTAACATTTTAAGAATTTGGTAACCGACCCGAAGTTGTTTGTATTGAGAAGCATCATTTTCAAAGCTGAACAAGACTTTGTACTGCCATGCTTCCTTTCAAATAATAATACACTTTTCCTCAATAAAAATAAATAAAAATAATAAAGACAGAACATTTAATTAATTATTATTATTATATAAATAATGTAATTAAAAGAACATAGTAATTATCCAAATGAGGACAATTGTAACTGACAAAAATAAAATGGAAATATCATTAGAAGTTGATTAAAATAAAATGTAGACGAGTGTGCAACTTACATGCTTTGAGATGTAAATGTAATGTCAGCTACTATACTTGTAGAAGATTAAATAGCCAGCGTTTTTACACCTGATCAACACATTGCTGGAGTTAGTTTTCTTTTAGGGCCCTGACATTTGATGCCTGGCTGCATTAGACTGTAAATCAAATTGTTTGTTGGATGCCAGCAGGCAGCACCTTCCCCCCTGTCAGCAGTCATTCGACATCCCGGCCGAGTTGAAAGGGCTTTGTCCCAAGAGCGTTTCACCTCAGTTACCCCTCCCTGCCATTTGACTCTTTGCCCTTTGCTCGTTTTAAGGAATGACTCGCGCTCTCCGGGAAGTGTAAGCTATCTGCCTTCCTTCTTCACCAAGCTGGAAAACACCTCGCCTATGGTGAAATCCAAGAAGCAGGAGATCTTTCGTAAGTTGAACTCCAACTCTGGTGTCGGTGATTCTGATGTTGGTAAGTGGGTCTCTTCTTATCCTGTCTCTTCAAACTAGGGCTGTCCCGAATACCATTTTTCGGGCTCCGGATATTCGGTAGATATCAGCAGCGAATATTCGACCCGTGCGGGGGGGGGGGTGGTAATCAGCAGCGAACCGCTTCAACACGTGTATTTCGGGTTTATTCACGGCATTCATTTTTGTTATTCTACAGTATTGTTGTTTTATAGTTATTTGTTAATGTATACAACCCAATTTGTGTACTTTGAAATTGAAAAGGATATTGCATTGTGTTTGTTACTTTTGTTGCAGTTGTATATGTCTTAAGTGTAATTTGGCTTGGCTTCCTATTTTGTATGGACATGCTTTTATTTTGAAGGAGAGTTAACGCTGTTGACAGGAAGTTGCTATGGAAACAACGTGATGGAGATTAACGCAAAAAAGTCATATCTACATATAAAGACGGAGAAAGTAAACTATAACGTTTATGGTTAAGTGTTGGCACCCCCGGAAGAGGCACAAGCTCTTACGTTGATATTGGAGTTTTCAATAAATTAAATTTGGACGAAATTGAAACCCGAATAGTACTCCAACGAACGAATATTCGGATATTCGGGTACAGCCCTACTTCAAACTAACCTGCAAGCATCAGATGATGAACTGTTAATATGTGTGCATGCAAGACATTTGTGTGTTAATTCACTTATTCCTTTACATTTTTCAACATCATTAAGCATGTGATAACATTGAAACAACTTCACTCATTGTATCATGTGTAGCTCCATCATGTCAGACATTAAACTATTTTTAAAAGCTAAATATTGTTTTGCAGGAAATGCTCAACCAGGCACAGAGATTTTCAACTTGCCTGCTGTTACCAGCTCCAGTAAGTAATGAAACTCTCTGACACTTCACAGTTCTTTCTAGTTGATGTCTCTGTTTCTAAATGTCTGTTTTGTTGTGGTGTTGCTTTGTAGGCAGCATCAACCCAAGGAATAACTCATTTAGTGACCCGGCCAATAACCTGGGCCTAGAGGACATCATCCGCAAAGCCTTGATGGGCAACCTGGAGGAGAGGCCAGAGGAGCATCAGGGGGGTCAGTCTGCCAACAGCAACAACAACACACCCAGCGCGGGCAGCGAAGTCCGCCAGGAGGCCAACCCGTCTCCCAGTATGGGTAAGCACCAAATACATTCCCAGAATTAGACATGTTCACAACAGCGAGGGACCCCAAATTGTCGACAACTTGTCGCACTTGCTATGAAATGTTGTTTTGAAACAAGGATCATTCTATTTGTCTTTAATAGGGGTGCTATGGTCATAGAATAGAATCTCCCAATAAATCATGTTATATAGCCCATTTTGATAGTTACACAGGGGTCCACGGGGTCTTAAAAAGTATTAAAAGTTGATAAATCAATTTAGCAAAAATTAAGGCTATTAAAAAGTATTAAACTGCATTTTCCAAGGTATTAAGAAGGTCCACAGCAACGACAACATGAAACACCCTTTAATTTACTGAAACAACATGTCGGGAAACCCCCTCAAGGTGGCCCCATGCATAGCGTGCCATAAAATGCTGCTTCTTATTTTAAGTTTCGTTGCCTTGCTCTGCTCTGTGGGGGGTGGGGGTTTTATCTGCTGGTGGACTACCTGAGAGATATACAGCAGGAGAACACGCCGTCCACCGCGGAGAATAAACAGAAGGGCAACCATGACAACCATGCTCCGGGGTCTTCTTCGCTGCTTTTGGTGTATTTTGTGGCGGCAGCAGCGCCACTTACAGGCCTGGCATATGTACTACAGCGTTTCCAGCATTTCCAGCGGTCTAGTGTGACCGGACACGTTAATGAATCGAATGCGTGTGAACGGAAGACTTTTTTGCGTTTGCGTATGCGTTTTACTGTATGCGTTTTATTGTATGCGTTTTACTGTATGTGTCCTCGTGGGGCCGGGGTCTAAGCCAAACTATATCCGGTCACAGAGATCTGCTATTTTAAAGTAAGGTCAACACATATCGACCCTAAATATAGTCTATATTAAGAACGAGAAAAGTCTTAACATATATATCGTTTTTTGTAAACATATGACAAATGTGTGAGGGTGATGACGTCAGAGCATCGTCCTATGTGCCGGGGCCCCAGCCCAATTTAACCCCTGGGTATTTGTGAGGGAGCTCCTATATGGCATTACCCCGCTGAAGCTCACCACAGTTTAATATATTTCATAGTTCAAAGTTTTGTCAATTGTTTTGTTTATTGGTCAAATTCTGGTTTCTAATGGTTTCTGAGGAGTTTTACTGGAATGAAAGAGCACAGAGTACAGAAGCAGCATACTGCATTAAACCTGACCTTCACAGAGAGGTTGAAGTTCATGTGGAGAGGAGGCTTCAGTAGTCTGTCTGCACTCTGTTTAGCTGTGCTATCTTACAATCAATATAGTAAATGTGAGGTAAAGTGTGTCGCCAATGTAACCGGTTAGAACTCGAAGTTGCGATGAGGTCTTAAAATGTATGGAAAGGGTCTTAAAAGGTATTAAATTTGACTTCAGGATTCCTGCATATACCCTGTTATATGATCCAATAAATGTTCAATATTATCTGAGAATAATTTGTGCTTTCAATCTCTTTTGTCTACATGAGAATGTATCTACACTGACCTCATGAAGGCTAAATAACAATAACATAAGGCCACATTGACAAAATAGATCTTAGTTTTCAGAGTGTTCAAATTTATTGTGAATATATATGAGCGATTCTGAGTCATATCAACAGGGGGTAGTGCTAAGAAACCGCTGTTTGTCGATAATAGGATAGACGGATAAACTTCAATACCAATCAGATTTTATTATGAACATTTTTAGATGGGGACGTTTTAGTTAAGAAGGAATTTTATGTTGATGATATATAAATGTTTTTGAATCTACAGGGAAGCAGAAGCAGAGCAAAGCCAACAGCCGGAAAACCAAGTCCCCTAACCTGGGTCAGGCCTACGCCGGAGGGGAGCGTCCCTCCTCAGTGTCCTCCGTCCACTCCGAGGGAGATTATCACCGGCAAGCCCAAGCTCAACCCCAGTGGAGCTGGGACGACCGACCCTCATCCACAGGTGAGCTGTCCTGCCTATGTCATCTAAAGAAACTGTCTCCTGGTCAAATAAAGACAGAAACATTTAAAAATAACGTTCTCTTCTGCTTATCTATCTCCAGGATCAATGCAGTTCCCATACAACCCGCTGACCATGCGCATACTGAGCAGCACGCCACCCACCTCCATAGCTTCCCCCGCCATTCAGAGCCAGCAGCAGCAACAGCAGCAGCAGCAACAACATCAACATCAACAACAACAACAACAACAACAACAACAACAACAACAACAACAGCAGCTGCAGCCGCCTCCTGCTGGAGCTCCAGTGGCCCAGCAGCGGGTGTGGCAGTCTCTGCTGTCAGAGCAATACGAGACCCTATCTGACAGCGACGACTGAGCCCCGCTCGCTACAAGCCCCGACAACCAGAAGAGAGCCCTCCCTGCACTAAGGCTTGTCTTTTCACCCCCCCCCCCCCCCCCCCTCTCCCCTCTCCCAGAACTATCCTCGCTGACTGGTGAGAGTGACAAGTAGATGGGGTGGTGTCCTTTTTATTTTTGGTGCTATGGCGCCCCCTGGCTGTTAGCAAAGAGTTGAAGCAGCAGCTAGTGACAGGCAGGGCTCTCCAGAATGAGACTGGATTTGGTCTGGAAGCACTCACCCAGCCTGATGTAGACATGAAACCCTGACCGAGTGGACGACGTGAGCTGTAGTAAAGATGAAGAACTTATTATGTAAAAAGAAACAACATAAGAGACTATTTCTGATTTTTGGGGATTTCTGTAAAGATATACGTTGTCTTTAAGAATCATTGTATGTAAATAGAGTAACCTTTTGCAGTGTTTTTCTTAACTTGATTATTTCTTATTTTAATGTCGCTTTTAAATTGATCCACTTTAAACGAGAAGAGGAGGGGTGTAATTTTTTCACAGTTGGTCTCTCCCAGTCCGCCCCACATGACCTGACACCCACGCTAATATTTTTACCATAGCAATGCTGAGAGAGACCTTTTGGTTTGTATTTGACCACGAATGGAGTGCTACCCCCCACCCCTGCGCGCCATCCACCAAGCTCCACCAGAGCCTGAACATCGTGGACACAGATGAACAATTAAAACAGCAATTATTTTTTTTTTTTATCTTCATCACATAGTGGAGATGATGCGTGGATTGTAACTATCAGATGGCAGCGGAAACTTCTCACCCCGTTCTAGACAGAGACATTTCTTCAAAACAAGTTGGGAACACTGGTGTCATAGCAGAAAGGTGAAAAGTCTGATATAAGCTTAATTTAGCCGGATAAGATATGACTACTCCTGGACTGCGTCTGAGTAATTAAAGTGAGCCAATGCTTTTTTTTCAATAGAGCTGACCGTGGTGTTTAGCTGTCTCTCTCTGCAGTTTCCAACCTGTCCAGAATTATCTGCTCAAATGTTGTCATGGTAAAAAAAATAGTAAGTCAGGTTTTGCCATGCCTTGTGACTTGAGAACGAAGGCAGCTTTAACTAATTTTCTCAGAGATATATGTTGGTGTTTGATGTTTGTATTTGTTTCTGTAGTCCTTCTTTTTTTTTTTTTTATACTGTCCTGACAAAAATCTGAACTCTGTAAATTGTCTTTCCATTACACAAAGACAAAACTAACCAAACATAAAGAATGGTCTGCACCATTGTTGCACTTTTTTGCTTTGTAGCTTTTGACAAGAAAAAAAAAGCATACTACCTGCTGTGTAACTTATTCAACCTCCAGCATAAGAGTATACTAAGATGTGCTTTAACCTTTTCCCACCACTCACAGAAATCTGGATGTTGAAACTTTCTGTCTTTTCTTGTAGCTGGTACATGATTTTGTAGTGTTGACACATCACAGTTACAGTTTTAAGTGTTTGGTACCGTTAAATGTTTGCCGTCATGGTGGCTCAAAACCGTGATCACTTAATCTCTGCTTTCGTTGTGTCAGTCAAGAGGCATAAAGCTTTGAATTATTATAGGTCAATTTCATAAATGGCAGTAACTTTCCGTTGCAGATGGTGAAAAATTACCATGTTTTGTCTTTCAGCTTTGCTCAATTAACAAATCCATTATGCTCTAAACTTTCCTTTCTTTCCTTTTATTTTGATCTTGAATCATTTGTCATAGCACATGTTCAGAATTTTTTTTTCAACATCTTCGTCATCCATCCTGTTAAGGAGGGGATGTTATGTGTTTACAAAGGCAATGACAAAAAAAGTTTACAAACTTGAATCTTAGAGAAATCCGACATGAAGCCGCATCTTTTCAGCTCTAACAAACTCGCAGTGGTGACTTTTTTTTGTTGGCTTTTTGAAATTGAGACTTGAAAACCCGTGTATCCTATGATGTTGAAATGCAATGTTTGTATCGCACAATGTCTCTTAGTAGGCTATTACAAGAGTTCAGACCAATCAAATAAAGTGGATCAGTTCTCCACCACTGAAAAATGTGTAGGTGTGCCATCTATTAAATTAACCAATACCATTTTAGTTTTTTAGATTATGGCCTGATCAATCACAACAGTCATTGACTGACAAGTATCACAACTCTTCAGGATCCTTTTGATGTGAAATATAAAATGAAAACATTTTTACCACATTCTTTAGCAATTTCAACTTGCGGTTCATAAAAAATAAATTGTATAGAAAACAATTAATCGCATTAGAGCACCTTCAAATGCATAAAAATACCTTTTATTACTGCAGTAAAGTGGATGAGATAATGCACAACTATAGGCCAATCTCACAGAAGATATTTAGGTGCTTTCCATTTAGGTGAGCCAGCTCCTGGAATCTGGTACTGTATAGAGCTGTCTCACAGCAGACATTATGATTCATAATGGCAGTAAAATCAATAGTAGTAATGAACTTGATTGTGGTTCTATTCCATTCAAGTATTGCAGTGTGTTAGTGACATGCACCAGGACCCTGGAAACAGATGTGGAATGGAGAATAAATCTGTGTTCTCAATAACACTTACATTTTGCTATATTTCAAAAATATATATTGCTATATTTCAAAATCGTTGCTATATTTCAAAAATATATAGCCTGATATTAACATGGCAATAGTCTGGCGGTGCATTGGGAATATTGTCCTGAATTTGCATGAAAGTATGTCTGGGATTTGCTCTTCCTTCACATACACATGCACCTAAAGAGACTATTTTAAGGATTAAAGCAGGCTATTTTCTCAATACTTGTATTGGCTACTCTTAAAATGAAAAGTAAATGTGCCTATGTAGTAGCAGGAACTTTAAAATTATCTCTACTTCGTCCTTTTTTAAACGTTGTAAGGCCTAAAAGCTCAAGGGTCTCCGAACAAATACAACGCTTGAGGTATGTTGGCTTTTATTTTGGAGGGAAATCAGACATTCGAACCGGATGTCGTTATATTTTGGTCGCAGTTTATTGGCTACCGGAGTTGGTGACTTCCTGAAACGAAACGGTCTGAAAAGTACACATCCATAATGAAGATGCGTTCGTTCTTACCTGCAGTTGCTGAACAGCTTTTCCGAGATATTCAAAAAGCATACCAGGAAACTTCCCAAAGTAAGACGAGGCTGGTAAAGAGAGACAGACCAAACAATTATTCCCGGGGGCAGTTTTAGTGGAAAAGTAGCTGTAGCACTACTAGCTTTAATATAGGAGAACGTGACAAACTCGCTTGACTATTTGAGCAAACGTAATGTTAACTTACCCTTGGTTAGTACGCCGTAGTTAACTTTACGTTAAGTCAAAAACAACCGTCGTTGTGTGCTTTACAGTAGCGTTCATGCAGCATTTCTTACATTTTAACTGTTGTTGTATGATGTAGTTTAATATTTGGCCTGTGGGAGGCGCTGCTGGTACACACTTCTGTCACTGTACACTAGTTTAGGTTTACACACCTGAGGAATAAACAGGGCGTTTCTCACAGCAAACACTAACAGGAAAGTACAGGTGTGTTCCTCTGTAATGACTTCCAAATGTATGTGTTCACTTCAAGTGTTCAAACCTATTTAATAACAGACATTGGCTTGTTAGAAATTTCAGTTGGTTATACTAATATTAACAAAGGTCCTGTTCTGTTTGTGTGTCCCAATAAGTCATGACCTGAAAAAGAAGCAGCTAAGTGGAATTTAACCATCATATATTCTATAAGTTATAACTAGAGGTCTATCTTGCATGTTTGCTTAATTGAACATAATGCCATAATTTATGCCCTTATTTTCTGTTAAAAAAAAAGAGTCTTATTATCATTAACAACATGATGACACTGTCTGAATCAACAAATGACAAACATTTTGTTTCATCACATTCCTAAATTGTCACGCAATATTACCGTTTCTTAACACAAGTTGCATACAGTTGCCCCCGAAGTGTTTTTATCGTCACACAACATAAAATGTGGGAAGGTTATGCCAAAACAAACCCACAACAAGGTTTTGTGTATATTGTCCATAAAGGATTATGTCGAGTCGTAAAACACAACTGCTATGCCTCATTGGGCTTTTGTTACCATTATTCAGTGGGTTTGGTCCATTTATTAGACAAACAAACTGAACCACTGAAACGTTGGCTTTATGAAGAGTTGGTTTATCTGTATACTGAAGTCAGGCCCAGGGACTCAACAGTAATGCAGGTTTGAAAAGTTAAGCCACAGCCGTTTTACAAGACTCAATGCCATTTCAGCAGTCGTTTTCACCCGTATTTTCTGAAAAAGTCAGTAGACTCCAACCCATAACTGTCTGGCCTCTACATTGTTGTATCACTAGGAGTGGTAAACACATATACTAACAAGTAGCATTACCACAATGTAAAAATATGATGTAGTCTTAAGGTTCTGTTCTGTGTTGTGTATTTTAATATGTAATCTTTACCTTACACTGCAGGAAGATTGTGAATTTATGAATGTCTTCAAAACTGATTCCACCTACTAGATAAATAAGTATAATTGAAGTTGTATCACTCTTCAATCTGTCAATTTCTTTTAGTAATCATGATCACACATTTTAAAATGTTTTTTTAAATCATTTTTCTTTCTTTTGCAGTACCTGATGACCTGCTTATTGCGTAAGTATCAATTTCATCATTCCCATTATTATCAATTAACTTCCATCACAGATATGAACCACACAGCCTACAATCAATAACATTGTTTTGCAGGTTTTTTTCCTCATTTCTCACGGTAGTCATCTTTCCTCATCAGAGTAATGATCTAAGTTAAGTGCAGAAGCCACACTGCGGAGGATGAGAGGCCTTTTTGTACTGTCTGGGTTTGTGATGTAACACTGAGACACAATGTCATGATGCTGCTTTGTGTCTTGACAGAGAAATGTTCCTGGCTTTCATAGTTGTTCACTTAGTGAGAGAGAAGGTTGCTCACTGTCTGGGTCAACACGCCCACATCCTGTATGACGGGAAGCTTTGGTTTAGGGGCTCTTCATCATTTACAGGCAGACATAATCCTATTTTTATATTTGTCTCCTGGTTTGTCTCATATCTGCCTCATGAGAAAGATATGAAGAAAAAAACAACAATATTTGTTTCATTCATTTCAGAAAGAGGGTGAAAATAGGTCCTGTGGAGAATGAATAATTATAAAATAGATTAAAAAAATGTACAAAAAAAGCTTCAGTTTGGTTTCAAGCTAAATAATTTTTTTTCTTCCATCTCTAGCATGGACTTTAAAGAAACTGTTAATAGTGTTTGTCTTCTACGATAAATGAGCAAGTGCTTCACCTTAGATTCACATTGTGAGAAGATTCAACAGTGATACAGGGTAGAAGTGTTTGTTGAAGAGGCAGGTTCTGGTTCTTCTACTAACTGTGCCTGAAGTTCACAGCCGGGGGCTGCTAAAACATGCTTATTTAATTAGGAGCTCCACCGCAGGCCCTCACACTCACACACGATGCAATGTTCACAAAAACTATTTCAAACTCCTACTCAGCAGTTTCTGTATTTATGCCATGTCAAATATCTGTCTGTGTTTCTTCCTCGTTCTTTCAGGCTGAAGTTTGTTTTCGGGCCGTGTGCGCTGCAGGCTCTGGACCTTGTTGACCAGCACTCAGTCACCTGTCTGTCATCTCCCAGTGGACGCAAAGCTTTCCAGGTCCGTCATGCTTCTGTCAAATCTGGAGCTTTTCAAACTGTACTTGCAGTGTACCTTACACTAAATCATCACCATAATATATAAGTCGTTCCAACCTTAGTTACAAATTCAATGTGAGCAGGATTATATGAATCCCTTTGAATGAAACCAATGGAATAATCAGGATTGAATGCCCTATCTGTAAAGACAATGTGAACTCTGTCAAACCCACTTGAGCAGCTGATCTTTTAGTTTGAACCTTTTGATTCATGGTTTCATAAAAAAACGTCCCATCAGTTAGTTATCTTCATTCAATTAATGTTTTCAACCTGTGGCACATCCATTAGTCAAGTCCCTGCATGCCTCACACAAACACACACTACTGTGTGCTAATTGAAGCTCATTTAGCATGTGACACTTTATAATGGTATAATAGAAACACTCAGGGGTGGATATTAATAGTGAAAAAAATGTTTTGCGGTCTTGTATTGCCAGATATATCATGATATGACATCGAGAACATTTAGAATTCCCTCCCTGATAGTAAATCCCCAGGGTACGATTTTTGACCTGAGTCACCCTCTCCTCAAAGAGGCAGCCCACTGAGGTTGTGGTCATTGGGACCCACATTTCCTGTAAACTCCTTCAGGCCCCTTTAAAAACAGATTTATAAAAGGAACTGTACAACAGCTCAATGCAGCTAAAAAAAGACATGTTCTGTTCTTTTGGGACAGACAATTGAGGGCGTTTTTACTGTTTTATTTAGTCTAATTTCCTTAAGGCCTGTCTGACAATAGTGGTCAAGCAGCATATACTGAAAAGGCAATTGTCCGTTATTACTCTGTTCTGGAAAATAGTTTTCCCCTCCAAACTTATGTCGTATGTTTGTGGCTCTGGTTTCTCTGAGAACAAATCCAGAACAAGTTGGTTTCTGAAGCGTTTTATACTTTTTTGGTACTCAACCAACAAGCAACTTTCACAGTAGAAATATGTAATACTGTATAGATATATGTGTCAGATTTTCCAAATATGATTGGCGCTTTGTGATGTTTAGATTGTGAACAGTTAGGTCTGTGATTTGCTGTGTATAAACTGAGGTTTTAATGAATTGATTGAAAGTTAACTTGCTGCAACACTTCAGTTTCAACATGACTCACACATACAGACACAGACCGCCATTCACACACGCTGTAGGTATATTTTGTTGTCAGCCAACTGTTCTTAGCTAATTAAGGTTTGTTTGCTTTGGTATTTGAATGCATTAAACAAACTATATATATATATATATATATATGTTGTCAACTTGGAGGATTTTGCTAAGCTGTTTTTTCTTGTTTAAACTAAGCTAAACTTGCTGCTAGCTATAGCTTCATATTCACTGTACAGACATAATTAAAATGTATCTTATCTAAATAGAGTGATTAAGGGGCATCTTCTAAAAAGTCAAATAATTGTAACACGTAACAGAACCTCCCTTTAAATAATCCACTTTATTACAATCATTTGTTGTTTTGAAGTGCAAACTTGAAACGCTTAAGTCTTACACGACCAAGCATTGTTGACTTTAATTAGAGAGTAAATAGTCAGGTTGCATTTTTGAAGTACTCAGAATTACAAGTGAAACATTCCTGATGCTTTGCCATCGTCATGTAGGTACAGGCTTTTGTTTTGGGAATGCCAGTGTCACCTCATGACTTAATTGGGAAGTTGTACAACATCAACAGCATGCTAATATATCACATAACGTTCTCCTTTCTCTTTGTTATAACTCTTGCTGGTTTATTTTGTGTGGCATTAGCAGTAGTAAGTGTTGCTCCTGTGATGATGGCAGGTCTGTTTAATGTTTGAAACGTTAGTGATGCATTAAGTGAGACTATGGTTTACATAGTGTCTGTTTGAATGCTGTCTCTAAGCCATGACAATAATATTTAGCTTTCCCCGCTCTCTGACTCTCAGATTAATCTTGACAGTGGGTGCTCCAGAAAGCAGCTGCTGGAAAACAACCAAGCTCTTCCCACCTAAATATCTGGAACCAGAACATGGCTGGCATGGCATGAAATGTAACTTAAGATAATCACAGACTTAAAAAAAATGGAAGATCGGTGAAGAAGTTCTCTGATGATCAGGCTACATGTTTCCCCTGAAGTTGAATAATATTTGGTGAGCATCGTGTGAAAGGAGACTGTTTGTAATCCTCTCCAAGAGAATGAAAGCAGTGACGTCAGTTCCTGAAGCCGTTGCTCATTTAAAAAATAGAGCCCGACAGTCATTAGTCATACACTTGTCAGGAGTCCTTACAAATAGTCTGTGTGACGTGTGCAGGATGAGAGAGCAGATTTCTCTCATCAGATCATAAAAGGTCATCTTTATGGGGCCCTAATATGCTCATATTAGGTTCATATTTGTGTTTTGTGTCTCTACTGTGACATGTCTCCATGCTTTAAAGCTCTTTATTTTTCTCTTACTGCCTGTGCTGCAGCACCTCTTTTCACCCTTTGTCTGAAACCAGAGCCCAGTCTGCTCTGATTGGTTAGCTGGCCAGCTCTGTTGTGATTGGTCAACCGCTAAAATATGTCCCGCCCCTGATAAGTACACTGCGTTGAAGTGCTATCCAATTTACATGCAAAAAAACCTACATAACACACTACAGGAAAGGGAAAAACATATTAGGGCCCCTTAAACAGAGCATTAATGAGTGTTCTTAGATGGTTTCCAGAAATTAAACCCATTTGTGGAATAAACTATATTCATAGACAATATTGAGTTCACTGGAAGTGTTGTGACTTGTGTGCCAATTTGGCAATGTGAGAGACATCTTGAAACATTGGATAAATCAAAAAGATATGTTGTCCAGGCTCCTACTTCTTCAAAATAAAATAATATTTAAAGAAAGAATGGCATTTAACCAATGGGATATTTTAACCATATCTCATTCTTAACATTCATTGACCTTTCATGTGTTATGGTTTGCTTTTAATAAACAGAAGTAGTGAATAATGTATGCCCAACAATATTAAGACTCCAGCTGTATGGACACAAACATCGTGTGTTTTGTTTTATACACAACTAAATATTGAGGTTGCTGTTGAGGACAGTATGGTATTGATTAAGTTGTTGATTGTAATTTTTTGACTATTTTCATCATTGATTTATAAAAGATCAGAGTTAAAAAAAGCCAAATATTTGCAAACATCTTGATCACATTTTATAAATTAGCTATTTTCAATAGAGTTGTACGTTAAATATCTCTAGGTTTTAGAAAAGCACTATTGGGTGAGCCTGTTTTTTCTGACATGATAAAAAGATATTCTATTAAGATATTCACAAATGTTCCCGATAATAGAAATTCGGCTAATGTTCCCATCCTTATATATGAATGAAGAGAACTTTTCAGCACCCTATATTTAGTTTGAAATCGTTGATAAGTCTCTGTTCCTGATCTTGTTTGTCTGTGGCAAACAGCAGAAATAACTTGATTAGGTGATGAGAGGGGAAGTAAGGATGCAGTACTAATGCAAATGCCTGGTACTGATGTGGCAGTACTTCAATACACCTTCTCCAGGGGCATTACGTTTCCAAACCACAGTCCTGTGACAGGAACGCAAAACAAAGTTTATGTGGAAGGCTTTTTAGCACTGGAGGTAGTTCATCAGCACTCCCATGAGAGACAGGCAATTCTTGAATTAGTCATCCCAGTCTTTATACAGTGTGCTGGAGAACAGATGCAGTGGTTGTGAGTCTTAATCGCTTCCCAGAGCTTTACACTTCCCTGAAGCCTTAGTGGTGTGGAACCAGGGACAGAGCGCCAGGACTTTGGACCGCCCTCTGTCTGCTGCCAACTCTCCCAAAAAGTATTCCTGTGTGAGCCAGCATTTCAGAGCTTTGCCGAGGCTTTAACTGTTCCTTCCGCAGTGACTGTCTGAATGGCTGATCTGGATGTATAGTGTCGTTTTGAGGGAGACCTGGATACCTGCCAGGCAGTGCAAGCCTTCAGTTTGCGGTGTGAGCTGCAGCAGAGCCACATAATCTATGATGACTGCTTACAACAAAAAGGCCCATAGTGTGAGCTGGTTTTCAATAAACCTGGCTCTTTGGAGCAGCAGAGGTCCTTGGCTCGGTCTCCACAGTCGTACTGTTTCCATCCTGCAGTGCATGGAGCTTTATTCACCCGCACTGAGGTGCTTTAAGCCCATGTATTTGTCTCTCTTTATGTCTTATTTATAATTAAGTGTCACGTTGAAGACGTTTTTTGCTTTCGTAGGTCACAGGGAAAGGTGATTTATCCGAGCTCTGGAGAATAATGGAGCCAGCTTTGTCATCTTGGGAGGCATTAGTTATTGTGCAGTGTCAAGCTAATCCAAAGACATAATGTCCTCATGTGTCATGTGCATCAGGACGAGACTTAGATCACTGTCTATGGCTGGGAGTGAACTACGTACGGCTTGTTTAAAAATGCATCGTCTCTATCTTGTTTCCTCAACATACCTAATGTGAAATGATGTTGATGGTGGAAGCAACCTCAACCGGCTTTCTGTCACTTTTATGAAACATTAAAAACGAGAGTCCACTCAAAATGATCAGGTTAAAAATCTGGTTTTCTGCATTCATATCTTAAATGTTATTAATACACATACTTATTGTTGTTATATGTTGTCATAGAATGTGCACTTCTTTATGTTTGTACTAATATTTATTTTTAAAATATTTTTCTTTTATACTTAAAAGGAGCAAGTGTTATGAAATCTAAATTACCCTCAGGGAATAAAGTATGAAGTATGTTTTACCATAACTGTAGTTGGGATATTTCAGGGACTGTAAAATCCCTTTTTAACAGAACTGGAAATTGAAGAATAAGGATTTAAAATCATGTCTTTAGCATGTGCTGTGACCCTGAAACGGTAACACACTCTTTGAGATATTCCATCCGAATCAGTTTATGTGACGTGATAGCTTACAGCTGTGGTGTAGATTAGAATACATACTCATATCCCAGTAAAATACCATGACTTCTTACATAATGT